TGGTTCTGGAGCATAGCGTACAAGAAGACATGGGCAGGCCTGTCATAACTGGGCTAGGCTGCCAGGAAAAAATACAAGACACGCAGGTAAACAAGTCATTTCTTAGCATAAGTAAGGCCTTTGCAATTGCTACAAGTATTTATTATGGGTCTGGAATTCACATTTAACTGGGTACCCTGTATTTTTATTTGATAAGCCTGCCATCCTAGGCCAGGGGCTCTGGGGCAAGTAAAAGTGAGCCCACCAACATCCCTCCTGACTTGCTCCTTGCTGGTTCCAGCCTCAGGGATGGCACCCTGTCCTTCCTGCCTACACCCCAGGACCTCCAGCCGCAGGCCCACATCGATCTCACCTCCTGAACCACTCCCCCACAGTTTCTTTCCCATCTGCCCCACCCCCTGCACACCCTGCCATGGCACCTGAGCTTCCACCTGCCCACCCTCAACACACACTACTGCTCTTCCTTGCTTAGCTGTACTTTCCCAAAAGCCTGCTGCTCTTTCAGGACCCCAGGCATGGGCCATGGCCTCAGCCTGAGTCAGGTCCTATCCCTCCTCTGCCCACTGCTCTCCAGCGCTCCCCTCTCTGCCACAGACCTCCAGCACTCCAACCTTCCTCTGGGCTAGAAGCCCAAGTTCTCCCAGCTTCCTCAAGGCCCTGCAGAACCAGCACCATCCACTCCCTGCCCTCACCTCCTCCCTCTCTCCCCTCTCTCACTGTGTGCTCCAGTCACACAGGCCTCCTCACTATTCTTCCAACAGCCAGGCATGGTCCTGCCCCAGGACCTTTGTACCAGCTGTTACTGCTACCTGGTGCACACCTCAAACAGAGAGCCACACAGTTAGTTCCCCTCTTATAGCTCGCAGCTCAAATGTCACCTCCGCAATGAGGTCTCCCTTGCCCACCTTATTTAAAATCGCAATCACCTTGGCTCCCCATCCTCCTTTCCTGCTGTGGTTTTTTCCACAGTGCACACCACCTTCCAACAGACTGTAAAATGACTACATAATGTGTGCTTTGTAGTTCGTATCTGGTCCATCTCCTTCAAGAGGACAGAGACTTTCTCTGCCTGGTTCACTGCCATATATCCCCAGAAGGGCACACAGGAGGCACTTAATAAATACTTCCTGAATGAATCGGCATCACGGTGGCTGGAACGTCCTCCAATACCCCCTTCCACCTTTCTAAGTACTATGTTTTCTCAAAGACTCACCTGAAAAAGTGGGCTTGTTTTCCTTCCCCAGGTCTTCTTTATCCACAGGGCAGCTCAAGAGATCTTTTGAATGCTCCGGCCTGCCCTTGCTGACCCTGCTCCAAAATCTTCTGTGGCTCCCCAGTGCCCTCAGGACTCTGTCAGTTTGGCCCTTGCCAACCTATCTCTTAACTCCACCTCTTTTCTCTGACACCTCTACCCCCACCGGCCCCACCCTCCAGCCTCACTCTGCACCTTCACACTCCCTGTTTCCTCTGACTGAAAACAGCTCTCCACTGCCTTCACCTGTCTGACCCCTATTCATCTCTCAGGCCTCAGTTTATACATCACCTCCTCCTGGAAGCCTTCCAGGACCCCCATCCCCAAACCAACTGGGTCTAGCCCCTCCTCTGGCCCTACCCCCATCACAGCCCTGATCACCCTGTATTAATATACCGGGTAACCACAGCCAACTCATCCATCGGACACAGGAGACCCAGGTCCTGCAACACCTTTAGGGATCTACAAATGGTTTTATTTTAATTTCTCTGAAAATCAGGAGAAAAAATTAATAAAATAATACCAATACAGTTGTAAAAGATCATTTGTAAAATTTTTTTCATAGAGGGAGGGACTTGCAACGGCAAAAGTGCCTCGGACCCACAGAGGTCTTCATGTGGGCCTCAGGGTCCCTTGTGTGTCTCCCCACTGGGCTATGAGAGCCAGGAAGCAGAGGTGGCAACTGGATCCCCAGGGCTGCCCAGCAAGGGCCCGAGACACAGCAGGTGCTTCATAATTGTTGAAAGGATGAAAATCCAGTGATTGCTGGGTCCTCAAGGCCAGGCCTGGCATGGCTCACACATTTTAGGAGATGCTTGATAAACGGATGGATGGACAGAGGGAAGGGTCAGAGGGCAGGCAGAGAGGACACCTGGGCCAGGCAGAGACCAAGTTGGGACCAGCAGCGCCACCTTGTGGCACGGTGCCGACCTGCCTCTCCCTCCACTACCCTGGGAAGAAAAGAACTGGAGAGTTTTCAGAGTCCTCCCACTGAAAGGGGGTGGAGTGGACAAAGAAGAGAAGGAGGAGGGTGTGGGGGCGGGGGGAAGAGGGAGAAGAAAGAAGAGAGAGGAGGAGGAACAGGAGGGGGGGTGGGAGGTAAAAATGGCAGCTGGCAGAAATCTCAGAAACAAAGACTATGAAGACAGACAACTCCCAGTCCAAAGCCCTTGGCCTCCCGTTTCCAGCTGTGTGCTGTGGTACGGTATCACTCCCCTGATCCTGAACTTCCTCATCCAGAGAGTTGGACAAATCAAAATCAGGCCTCTAAGTAATGTGATGAAAGAACTCAGAAAACAGCAACTATTTCTCATCTCCCCCTCTGGGGCTCCTGGACAGGTGCTGCCTTCCAGGAGCCTCCCCCAGGAATGGGAGGGGACAGATTTTCCATGAAGACATGGCTGGGGTGAAGAAAGGGAATGGGTTTGGAGGTAGAGTTGTCAGATGTAGTAAAACCAGCAAAAAAAGGATGCCCAGCTCCATTTGAATTTCAGATCAACAATGAATAATTTTTTATCACATGCGATGTACCACACTCCCAAAATGTATTCATTATTGACCCGAAATTTGAAGTGAACTGGACATCCTGTATTTTAAAGATTTTATTTATTTATTTATTTTAGAGAGGGAAGGGAGGGAGAATGAGAAAGAGAGAGAAACATCAATGTGCGGTTGCTGGGGGCTGTGGCCTGCAACCCAGGCATGTGCCCTGACTGGGAATCGAACCTGCGATGCTTTGGTTCGCAGCCCATGCTCAATCCACTGAGCTACGCCAGCCAGGGCGACATCCTGTATTTTAGCTGGAAATTCTAGCATGGGGGTGTCTGGGGAGGTAGGCAGGAAGGCTTCCAGGGGCAGGGGGTAGTGGCACAGCTGCCCTTCCTTCCCCTCCCCCACTCACATGAGTGCATGCTCAGTGGCAAATGCCTCTGACTGCTCACAGGGGACTGGAGGGTGGGGTTTGATCCCCACACCAGGGAAGGAGATGAGCATGACTGTTCTCCTTTCGTTCAGAAGATGCAGGGCAAAAGCACTAGGGCATTACTTCCAAATCAGAATTGGGTTACATCCCCTTGACCAAGAATATATTGGCAACGTCCCGGCACTGAATGCCACTCAGAAGCTGAAGACTCCCTGTGACTTTAGAGCTGTGTGACTTTGAATAAGCCACTTCACCTCTCTGAGCTCTATACATCCCCGACCCCTTCTCTTCCAGCTCTCCCCTTCCTGCTCCAGCAATATTGGCTTCTTGGCTGCATCTCCAACACACCAGGCATGGTCCAGCTTCAGAGCTTCTGCATATGCTCTTCCCTTCATCAGAAACACGCTTCCCAAATCCTTACATGGCTCCCTCCTCTCGTGACTTCTGGGTTCAAAGAGCACTCAGAAAGGCCTCCCTGACCATCCTATTAATAATTGAGCTCCCATTTTTGACTCATCCCAGTCCTTTACTTTTCTCAGTAGCACTCAACACCACCTGACCCATTGCGCATTTTACTCACTCACTCTTTGTCCGTCCCTCTCACGTCCCTCTCACTGCGTGGTGAGCGCCACAAGGCCAGGATCTGTTTTACTCACAGCTGTGTCCTCAGCACTCAGCACAGCAGCTCAAAAAAAACTGCTGAATGAACGAACTGGTAGGAAAATACGGCCTGCAAGCAAATGTGAAGTTTGTATGTGTTATAGTTTATTGCTGAAATCATTTTTGGGTCCCAAACTTGCAAATCTAACTAGCTGCACGTGGTTACTTAAATTCTAGAACATTCCTTACACCTCAGAAAGCTCTAGTGAACAGTGAGTGTAGAACCTCTCAATAAAATGCACTTAGTCACAAACACCCAATTTTGTCTATGTTCTTTCTGAAGGTTCCATAAGTCTTACCTCAACCCATATGTGAGTAATTTAGTAGAGGTGGCAAACTGAGTTTTATTTAGTCCAGTAGTTTTCTAAAAGGCCGGACAGCAAATTCCCGTGGATCATGAACCCCTGGGGTGGGCCTCCACAGGACAATGAGCCACACTGTCTAGGCAGGGCACGCTGCCACCCCATTTACCTCCCGCTGACCACTGGGAACATCTGAGTTTGAGACTCTGGTTAATAGACCAAGAGAACAGACGTTAGTTGTTGTTGGGGTTTTTTTTGCTGGGGGGGTGGGGGAGGGAGGAATTCGAATGGGCGTGGCTTCCGGAAATGGTTACTACAGGAGTCAGAGATCCAGGAGTTGGTGCCTGAATTGCCCTAGGCAGGCGGCCTCTGAGCCTGTTTTCTCATCTGTAATATGAGGATAAAGAAACACATAGTGTTGGAGAGTTAAGTGGCACTATTATACAGGTCAGGGAGGGCAGAAGGCACTGGATGTATCTGTCCACTGCTGTGGTTAACACTGTTCATAACGCACGGTCGGGTTTCGCTCCTTCACTCCTGTGCTAACCACGCAGACGCACCCAGTTCTTACAGCCTGGGTTTCACTATTGGAGAAAGGAAACAGGGAACCCCAGAATCGTGCTTACCTTCCAAAGCCAAGTTCATAGGGTCTCTAGGTGAGGCTGAGGTGCCCTTGGCTGAATCCGGTGTCATATAGCGGTCTCCCCAACCCCTGGGCAATGCTCAGAGGGCGCGCCCGACTCCCAAAACTAGCCCTTCTCAGACTTCACTTGTGACTCCAACGTCCAGAGTGGAGAGGGGCGTGGTCTGACAACCCCCTACCGGATTGGTTGGTTGGACCGTCACTCGCGGGCGCAGTCCCAGTATAAAGGCCCGCCCTAGACCTACACAGGGCGGTTTTGAAGCTATCACCTCAAAGTCGTGGCGGCTGCGCCCCGGACGTCCCGCTGACTGCGGTGAGAGGCGGGGTGCCCGATTGAGGTGGGGGATGGGACCCACTGAGTCTTGGGGCGCCCCAGGGGTGGAAGCGGTGTAGAGAGCCTTTCCGGGCGCTCTGCTGGTCTCTGCGGCCTGGGGGAGGGTCTCCAGCCCAGGCTGATCACCCCTCCCCTACCCCCAATCCAACTTCTAGAACAGGCTCAGATTTTCATACTCTCTCCTCTTAATTCCTGGGACTTTGGTGGGGGAGTTGCGAAAGAGTCCCCTAGAAATGCCAGTATCAAGCAGTGGGGAGAAATCCCTCGTCCCAAACAACAGGCTCGCCAAATTTAAAGTGTGTTTGCTTTGCTTGCAAATGCCGTTTGGGGGCAAGCCGCAGCCCGTCCTGCACCGGAATTCCGCCCTCCCTAGGACTTCAGAGTCTCCCCCCACTGTCACCATGGAGCGTCCTTCTGCCTAGCACAGCCCCCTTCCCTGCAAATGATTTTGCTGCCTGTGGCCCTCCCTTGCCCCAGCTCCTGACCCCCAGAGGACAGGCGAATCGAACCCCGCCCACTTCCCTGAGTGGGTGTGGCCAGTGGATTGCACAAGGCCCCGGATACCGGTAGGGTTGGGGAGCAAAGGCCACCCCTTATCTGAGTCCTTGGGACCTGTGTCAGCACTGAGATGAGGGGCCAGGCTCTGGAAACTTCGGAAGTTGGATCTTAGCGTATCCTGGCAGCCACAGGAGGGGTGCACAATTCCACCCAGTTCCAGCCAGCTCTTTCTCTGGAAGCCAAAATTGTAGGTTCAGTCCACAGTCAGGGCAGGTTGTGGACCGGAAGCACTTGAATGGGGTGTGGACATCTGCATGGTCACCCTTGGTTAAAGTGGTTCAAGGGAGGACCTCTAAACTGCCCAGGTGAGCTTAGGCTTAGAAGAAGGTGAGGGGGACATAGGTGATGACCAACAGGGCAGGTATGTCTCTTCACCCACTTCCCAGTTGGCTGAGGAACTTGAGTAACAAGTTGGTACCTCGGTAACAAGCAGGAATCTCATTTCTGGCTGGCTTCACCCTTTGTACGTGGCAGCCACATGTACGTGGTGTCACATGGATCTGTTTATTGAGCATCTATGTGTCAGGCTAAGCATCACATATGCAGCATCTCCTCCAATCTGCAGGGACTCTGAGCTAGGAATGGTTATCTAAACTAATAGGTATAGATGTAGCAAGCGAGGCTCCAAGGAGGGGTGATGCCTTTTCAAGCTGTCACAGCTAGTGAGATGCAAAGTGGGATTAGAACCTGGTTGAGACTCCAGAACTGGTACTCTGAAAATGTCAGCTTCCACTTTGGAGAAGTGGACTCCTTTTATCTAGAAGGAATCTCCTTTCCTCTAGAAGGAATCTCTCAGAATCAAGGTCAGGGGTTCTCAACAGGCTCACTCCAGAATTGCCTGTGGGACCAGTCTTTAAGGCAGGCACTACTCTTAGCCCTATTTTACAGGTAAGAGAGCTGAGGCTAGGGGAGAAGAAGCTCCTTGCCCAACATAGAGCACAGCGTGAACAGAACTGAGACTCCTGGAATCTAATGTGAGGATCTCCCACCCATCTCTGCTCCCCTGGCCAGGGAAATGAAGCATACCTATGGCTCCTATCTCACCTGCAAATGTGTGCAGTAGCCTCACAGGGGGCGGAGGGCGGGGAGACTTCCTTGCCCTTCTCACCCCCAAGTCTGACTTGATTGGTTTGCAGTGGGGCCAGGCATGGTCTCTAACACTTTCTTTTTTTTTTTTAGCTTAATTTTATTTTGAACAGGTAATATTATCTACCTGGCTCAAAAGTCAGAAGCTTGCCCTAGTTACTTGATCTTCCTCTTTAAAAGGTGGCCACTTTTAACAGTTTCCTGTGTCTCTTTAAAGATTCTGTACACCCTGGCAGGGTAGCTCAGTTGGTTAGAGTGTCATCCTGATATGTCAAAGTTGTAGGTTCAGTCCACAGTCAGGGCACATGTAAGAATCAACCAATGAATACCTGAACAAATGGAACAACAAATTCCATATTTCTCTCTAAAACGCAATTTTAAAAAACATTTAAAGATTCTTTTACACCCCCTTCACACCTTTGCCCCATTCACACCTTTGTCTCCTTACAGTATCTTGGTCCATGTCAATTACATGTAAATTCTCATTCTTTTGCCAGGCACTGGGCTAACCTGGTGTTTTCTTTAGTCCCCTTCTGCTAGGCAGACAGGTCGTTACCAGTGTCTTGTTGTGGCCAACACAGGTGCACCCCCCTTTGCCCACTTGGCAGTACAAGTGTGGGACTGTCCCCACAGTGAGGTTTCTGGGTCAAAGGGAAGATGCATCTTGAAACTTGATAGCTATTGGCAAGTCGCCATCCACAGAGGTTTTGCTCCATGGGTGCGTCTGGAGTTATTGTACAGATGAGCTCTCCTGAGGCTATAATTTGACCTTGCCCTTCAAGGTATAGCCCGGGATCATCTGTATCAACTGTATCGGCAGTAACAGGGAGCTTGTTAGGAATGCAGACTCTAGGCCCTGCTGAATAAGCACCTGCTCTTGAATAGGCCCACAGGTGCATGTTAATGGCTGAGAGGCAGGGCTCTTAGAATTGGGGGAAGGGTTGTTGGAGGGAGGGGAAGGGTTGTTGCAGGGAGGGAAAGGTCAGGCTGTACCTGACTAATCCATTTGTCCACAGCAGGTGCTTCTGAGAAATGTCTACCAACGAGACAGAAGCCCCTGCTGACACCCAGGCAACAGCTGAAGAACCGGTACAGCAGGTAAGAAAGGTCTGGAATCTATGGGGTGAGGCTTCCCACATCATGGTACCATGGAACGGAGCCGGGGAGCTTCTGGCAGCACATGGGGGTTAAGAAATGTCTTTCTGACTGGGCTGGAGAGAACCAGCCAACAAACCTCTAACAGGTGTCCCACTAACAAGTGGAGGCAGGAGAACTGGGAATCTCAGAGGCTCTCGGGAGAACAGGGGTACAGTCTGAAACTGCCCGGCACCACCCAGACAAATGTTCTCTGCCTCTGGAGATTCTCTTAGGGTCCCCCTTCCAAGGAGTCAGTCCGCATTCCCCCCTCCCTAGTTTAAATAAGTTCCCTTTTTAATAGACTATTATGGTATCATCTACATATCATAAAATTCACCCTTACGCAGAGTGCGTTGCGATTCAGTCATTTTTTTAGTGAACTATCAAGTTATGCAGTTATCACCACCGTAGTGTTAGAACATTTTTCGTCTCACCCAAAGGAAACCCCATACCCAGTAGCAGTCACCACCCCTTCCCGCTTCCTCCTTGGCAGCCACTCAGCTAGTTCTGTCTCTATGAGATTCTTCTTTTACTGCGTGTAATGTTCTAGAGGTTCATCCGTGCAGTGTATCTCATTTGCATCATTCCTTTTTAAAAATTGTGGTAAAATAGTCCTGGCTGGTGTGGCGCAGTGGATTGAGTGTCGGCCTGCAAATCTAGGGGTCGCAGGTTCCAATTCCCAGTCTAAGGGCACATGCCCGGGTTGCTAGTCAGGCCCCCCGTAGGGGGCGTGTGAGAGGCAACCACACATTGATGTTTTTCTCCCTCTCTCCCTCCCTTCCGCTCTCTAAAAATAAATAAATGAAATCTTTTTAAAAATTGTGGTAAAATATACACAATATAAAAGTATACTATTTTAACCATTTCAAAGAGTATACAGGACTTCTAGCCAAGATGGAAGCATAGGTAGACACACTGTGCCTCATCGCACAATCAAAAGGACAACAACAATTTAAAAATAAAGAACAACCTGAACTGACAGAAAATCAAACTGTATGGCAGTCTGACAACCAAGGAGTTAAAGAAGAAACATCCATCCAGACCAGTAGGAGGGGTGTAGACGGGCAGCCGAGCGGGGAACACTTGGGGCACAGCAGTGGTGGAGGACCAGATCGGGCAAGGCGGAGGCTGGTGGAGCAGTGGTCCCACATTCACTTGCAGATAAACCCAGAGGAACAGCTGGGGAAGGAGACAGACCTCACAACCTGGAGTCCCAGCTCAAGGAAATAAAGCCTCAAACCACTGATTGAAAACACCGGTGGGGGTTGAGGCGGCAGCGGGAGAAACTCCCAGCCCCACAGGAGAGTTCATTGGAGAGACCCACAGGGTGTTAGAACATACACACGCCCACCCACCAGGGAATCAGCATCAGAAGGGCTCAATTTGCTTGTGGGTAGCTGGGGAAGTAACTGAAATCCGGCAGAGGCAGAGCAAGCATCATTGTTTCTTCTCAGACCCCTTCCCCACATACAGCATCACAGTGCAGCTACATTGGTCACCCAGCCCTCATGAACACCTAAGATCCCGCCCCTCACTACATAACAGGTGCACTGAGAAAAAAAAAATGGCCCAAATGAAAGAACAGATCAAAGCTCCAGAAAAAATACAACTAAGCGACAAAGCAATAGCCACCTTATCAGATACACAGTTCAAAACACTGGTAATCAGGATGCTCACAGAATTGGTTGAATTTGGTCACAAATTAGATGAAAAAATGAAGGCATTGCTAAGTGAAATAAAAGGAAAATGTACAGGGAACCAATAGTGATGGGAAGGAAACTGGGACTCAAATCAACGGTGTGGACCAAAAGGAAGAAAGAAATATCCAACCAGAAAAGAATGAAGAAACAAGAATTCAAAAAAATGAGGAGAGGCTTAGGAACCTCCAGGACACCTTTAAACATGCCAACATCCCAATCATAGTGGTGCCAGCAGGAGTAGAGGAAGAGCAACAAATTGAAAACTTATTTGAACAAATAATGACAGAGAACTTCCCCAATCTGGCAAAGGAAATAGACTTCCAGGAAGTCCAGGAAGCTCAGAGAGTCCCAAAGAAGGTGAACCCAAGGAGGAACACACCAAGGCACATCATAATTACATTACCAAAGATTAAAAATAAGGAGAGAATCCTAGAAGCAGCAAGAGACAAGGAGGCAGTTACCTACAAAAGAGTTCCCATCGGACTGTCAGCTGATTTCTCAAAAGAGACTTTACAGGCAAGAAGGGGCTGGAAAGAAGTATTCCAAGTCATGAAAGGCAAGGGTCTACATACAAGATTACTCTATCCAGCAAAACTTTCATTTAGAATGGAAAGGCAGATAAAGTGCTTCCCAGATAAGGTCAAATTAAAGGAGTTCATCATTACCAAGCCCTTATTATATGAAATGTTAAAGGGATTTATCTAAGAAAAAGAAGATAAAAAATATGAACAGTAAAATGACAGCAAACTCACAGTTATTAACAACCACACCTAAAACAAAAACAAAAGCAAACCAAGCAAATACCTAGAACAGGAACAGAACCACAGAAATGGAGATCAGATGGAGGGTTAGCAACAGGGGAGTGGGAGGAGGAGAGAGGGGGAAAAGCTACAGAGAATAAGTAGCATAAATGGTAGGTAGAAAATAGGGGGCAGTTAAGAATAGTATGGGGAATGTAGAAGCCAAAGAACTTATCTATATGACCCATGGACATGAACTAAAGGTGGGGAACGTAGGTGGGAGGGGGTGTGCAGGGTGGAGGGGAATAAAGGGGGGAAATGGGACAACTGTAATAGCATAATCAATAAAATATATGTTAAAAAAAAGTATACACTGCAGTGGCATTAAGTACCTTCACAATGTGCAACCATTCCCACTACATAATTCCAGAGCTTTATCACCACCCCAAATGGAAATCCCAGCCCCATTAATAGCGACTCCCATTTCCGTCACCCCCCAGCCCCCAACAACAACTACTCTGCTTTCTGTCTATGGGTTTACTTATTCTGGTGAGGCTGTATGCTGAGAAAACTTAATTTACAAAACTAGGCAGTGATGGAATATTATTTAGCCATAAAAGGAATAAAATACTGACACATACTACCACATGGATGAACTTTGAAGATATGCTTGGTGAAATAAGCCAGACACAGGAGGACAAGTTCTGTGTGATCCCACTCATATCAGGTTCCCAGAGGAGTCAGATCCCCAGGGACAGGAAGTAGATGGTGGGGGACGGGGCCTGGGGGAGGGGGAGTGAATGTTTCATGGGGACAAAGTGTCAGTTTGTGGAGATGGGAAAGTTCTGGAGATGGATGGAGGTGGTGGTTGTACGAGAGTGTGAACATACTCATTGCCACTGAACTGTACACTTACAAATGGTTAAAATGGTACATTTTATGTTATCTCTGTTTTACTATAATTTATTTAATTATGTATGTATGTATTTTAATCCTCACCCAAGGATATATTTTGTTGATTTTAGAGAGAGAGAAATATCCATGTGAGAGAGAAACATCGATTGGTTGCCTCCAATATGTGCCCTGACTGGGGATCAAACCTGCAATTTCTTGGGGCGTGGTTGATGCTCCAACCAACTGAGCCACCTGGCCAGGGCTTTATTTTACTACAATTTAAAAAAAATGTGCATTTCCATACATTACTACATGAATGAACACTGAAAACATTACTCAGTGGAAACATCAGACACAATAGGCCACAGAAAACATGATCTCATTGACAGAAAATGTCCAGAAGAGACGAACTCAGAGACAGAAAGCGGATCAGTCCGTGGTCACCGGGGGCTGGGGGAAGGGGAGGGGGTGACTGTTACCGGGGGCAGGCTCCTTCCTGCGGTGATGGAGCAGGTCTGCAGTTACTGGTGATGGTCTTGCAGCCTAGTGAATGTACTGGAAACATTGAATTGTACGCTTTAAAAATGGTGGAATTTGTGCTGTGTGAACTTGATCTCAGTAAAACTATTAGGAAAAAAACACAAGAATAAAACATCAGGTGGTGGGTCACAGTCAGCAGACCCCAGCTTTAGACCGTAAACTCTGTGAGTGTAGGGTTCTCGTCTCTTTTCACTCCCTGGCACACAGTGGGTGTCAAAGTCACGTCCAAACAAATGAGCTGCAGAGCTAAGACAAAGGAAGCACACGGCGGAACCCTGAAGTTCCTGGGTTGCGCAATCCTGTGGACCCAAAGCAAGGGTGAGCCATTTCCCTGGCCACAAGCAAAAGTGCTGGCACTGGAGCTTCAGGCCCAGCCCTCTGGCCTCCCCACCCCCGGCCCAGCCTGCCTTAGCTGCTTCTCCCTACAGCCCAGCGTGGTGGACCGAGTGGCCAACATGCCCCTCATCAGCTCCACCTGTGGCATGGTATCGGCAGCCTACACCTCCACCAAGGAGAGCTACCCCCATATCAAGACTGTCTGCGATGCGGCGGAGAAAGGCGTGAAGACCCTCACAGCAGCAGCCATCAGCGGGGCCCAGCCCATCCTGTCCAAGCTAGAGCCCCAGAGTGAGTGAAGTCCCAAAGAACATGGAATGTTCCTGGCTGTTTCGGGGGGATCTGCCCCACCCTTGGCCCTGTTACCCCCAAACCAGTGGCTGACCTTCCTGGGACCCCGAGAGATGCTCGTGTGTGGTAACCAACATATTTCTGTCTTCTACCTCCTGTAGTCACATCAGCCAGTGGCTATGCCCACAGGGGGCTCGATAAGCTGGAGGAGAACCTGCCCATCCTACAGCAGCAGCCGGAGAAGGTAATGGACCTCCGCCAAGGGAGCCCCAGGGACCTCCCTGGGTGTTGGGTCTGTGGCCCACCCCAACTAGAAGAGACAATGCGACAGCTTACTCCCTGACCGCTCCTCTAAACATGCCCCCACACCCCAAGCCTACTCCCCACTGGGCAGCTGGACAAATATTCTCAAACCCAACCAGATCTGCTCAAAACCGCCCCCTGTCTCCCACCTTGCCCAGAGAAAAGCCAAAGCCCTCCCCACGCTCACATGGCCCCACCTGATGTGGCCCCACTGCCTCCCTGCCCTCACCACCCCCCTCTCTTGCTGCACTGCAGTTACGTTGGCCCTCCTACTCCCTGGGCAGTGACATAGTGTGTGCACATACGGGACACAGCGGTGGAGAGGGTTCTTGCCCGCATGGCACTCACTCTGGGACACTGAGGGAAGCAAAGACAATGAGTGCACCTGGCCCAGTCCTACCCCAGGGCCTTTGCACACGCAGCTCCTTTGTGGACCAGGTTTTCAGGTCTCTGTTCTAATCACACCTCTTCAGAGGCCTTCCCTTCCTTAAAGACTCTAGCTCAGCACAGCCCAGTAGAACTTTCTCTAAGGTCCATGCTCTTGGTCTTCACTATTCAGGAGGGGACCCATCAGCCCTGTGAGGCTGCTGAATCTTTCGAACGTGTCTAGTGTGACTGAGGAACTCAACTACTAATTTTAATTATTATAAATGCAAATAGCTACTTTGTAATCTTCACCATCTATTTTAGAACATTTCTTCCCCACCAAAACAAACTTCACACTCCTTGGCTGTTATTTTCCTTCCCATGAAACATCCCAACCCCTGGCAACCACTAACGTACTTCTTTTCCCTTTGGATTTGCCTGTTTTGGACACTTCACGTAAATGTGGCCTTTCAGGTCTGGCTGCTCCCACTGAGCACCGTGTTTGCAAGGTCCGTCCACCTTGCGGTGAGTGTCAGTGCCTCGCTCTTGTTCACTCATGGACTGAGTTTTGTTTGTTCATTCATCTGATGATGGACATTTTAGGAAGCTTCCACTTCTTGGCTATTAGGAATAACACTGCCGTGAACACTGGTGCACAAGTTACATTCAGTTTTTTATAACATCAAATTTACCATTTTAACTACTTCTGAGTCCACAGCTCAGCGGCATTAACCACACTGACACTGTTGTGCAGCCGTCCCCACCATCTGTCTCCACAGCTTTCCTGAACTGTCCCTCTGTCCCCACTGAACACTGACTCCCCATCTCCCTCCCCCAGCCCCCACCATCTACTTCCTGTCTCTGTGGCCCTGTCTCACTGAGCATAATGTCTCCAAGTTTCATCCATGTGATAACATGTCAGAATGTTCTTCCTTTTTAAGGCGGAATAGTACCCCATTGTCTGGATGGACCACGTCGTGTTTATCCATTTGTCCGTCCGTGGATTGCTTTGGGTTGCTTCTGTTCTTTGATTGTTATGAATAACGCTGCTACAAACATGGATGTACCTATATCTCCCTGAGACCCTGCTTTCAATCACATTTTATTTAGTTTTAATTATTTTAAATTTAAATAGCCACACATAACTAGTGGCCAATGTATTAGGCATTGTGGATCTGGGAGGATTGAGGCACAGAGAGGGGGAGTGACTGGCCTGAGGCCACACAGCTAAGAAGTATCAAGCCAGGGATTCTAACCAGACTGGCTGACTCCTGAGAAGTGGTCTTAACTGCGATACTGGAGTCACTGTCAACCCTTGGGCCACCCTGGAGGTTGGGGTGCAGGGGTGGGGCTACCCAGGTGTGGAGGGCATGCAGAGATGCTGATGCTGGCCTGACTCGTAGGTCCTGGCGGATACCAAGGAACTCGTGTCGTCCAGGGTGTCGGGGGCCCGAGAAGCTGTGTCCAACACGGTGTCCAGCGCCAAGGACACAGTGGCCACCCGAATGACAGAGGCAGTAGATGTGACCCGGGGAGCTGTGCAGAGCGGAGTGGACATGACCAAATCCGTGGTGACCAGCAGCGTCCACTCGGTCATGGGGTCCCGCGTGGGCCAGATGGTGCTGAGCGGAGTGGACACGGTGTTGGGCAAGTCAGAGGAGTGGGTGGACAACCACCTGCCCATGACAGACTCCGAGCTGGGTAAGTGTGGCCCATGGGCCCGAGATCCTCTCACCCTCTCAGCCACCTGGAGTCTGACCATCTGAGTGAACTTTTAAATGAACAGACGTGTCGGGGGTCGGGGGAGTGAGGGGAACAGCAGAGGAGAGTCTGGGCGATTTTCAGGGATTGAAGCACCCTCTGGGCACCAGGCCCTGCCCTAGACACAGGGGCACAACCAGTGAGCAAGACGGAAGCCTCCGCTTTGTGGAACTGATGACAGAAGCGATGACCAGTGCCTGAGAGGAAAGAACAGCATGCCAGGAGGGGGTGTGGGAGGGTTCCAGAACACAGTATGGAGGAGGAAGTTCTCATTCTTAGAGGCCCTGCAGGAAGGTGGTGTTTGAGTACAGAGCTGGAGGAGGAAGGGAGTTATCCATCGGGATGTCTAGGGGAAGAATGGTCCTGGGAGAGGGAACAGCACATGCAAAGGCCCGGAGGCAGGACCTTGCCTGGTGTGTTGGAGGAACAGCTAGGAGGCCCCTGTGGCTGGAACAGAATGAGTGAGGAGGAGAGAGGGAGAAAGTGAGGGCGGGCGGGGTGGGGCGGGGGGAGGACAGGGGCAGGTGATGCAGGGCAGTGTGGGCCAAGGGGAGGACTAAGGGCCCTACCCTGAAGAAGGTGGGAAGGGAGGTGGGGGCCTGAGAGCAGTGGAGGGTCTGGATCTGACTCTGGTACTAGCAGGCGCCCTCTGGTGGCTGCTTCAGGGAGCACAGACTGGAAGGCAAGGGTGAGAGCGGAGGGACCAGGGCAAAGGAAGTTGCCCCTGGTCCAGGCCAGTGAAAACGGAGACAGAACCAAATTGGGGCAGAAATGAAGACAAATAGACAAACTGGGGATGAAACCATTGGAGACCAAGCAGCCGGTCCTACTCATGGTCTGTACTTGCCCTCCGACACCCTTGGCCCTTGTGGTGGGTCTTGACACCACATTTAAAAGGCAGCCCTCCTTTGTGCACATGCCCAGTGTGCTGGCACATCAGCCTCCAAGGCCCATCCATGACCGCGAGGGCCCGTGGGGGCCGCACCTAAGTAGGCACCGTGCTCCATCCAGAGTGCAGCTTGGCCCTGGCCCACTGGCCGGGCCTGGTTGGTTTGAATGAGGAGCCACATATTTGGGAGAACAGAAAAAAGTTGAAGACAGGCTAGATAGGGTTTCATCACTCTTCTGTGGAGCCATCCTGGGCACGGCAGGGGCCAAGCAGCCTTTTTGGCCCCTACCTACTCAATGCCAGGAGTTCCCCTAACTTGTGACAACCACAAATGTCCCCAGACATTGCCCAGAGTCCCCTGATGGGCCGAACTGCCCCCAGATGAGAGTCGCTGTTTTGCCTGTTCTGGAACCTTGTATAAACGGGATCACGCGGTTCTCCGATGGGCAAACAGCTGGTCTTTATCTCCATCCCTGTTTCCATCTGGGATCGCCACAGGTTGCTCTTAAAAGTATCGCTTCTTTCTCTGTTGCTAGAACACTTCCGTGGAGAAAGTTCTCTGAAGCTTTGATTATCCCAAGGTACAAGTTTACTGAGGAAAAGCAGGGAAAATGGCAAATTTATTTTGGCATCGTGGCTGGTTCACCAGCACCCTCCATGAGTCCATAGTGGTTTTTCACTATACGCTTGAACATGTGGATTCACACGACATATTCTAACACGAAGTGTTTGTTTTATTGATACCTTATTTGTCCCACTGTTTTCAGCTGCTTGGAGTCCCTCTAGAGTTGGCTGTGAGTCCCCATGACCCTCCCTAAGAACTCTCAGTGGAAGGGGGGAGTCCATTGCTCTCTGGAGCAGCTCGACGTCCCAGGCAGTCCTGCAGCATGTGGCTTGAGTGTAGCACATCACTTGTTTTTTGAGTTTCCAAAACCCAACTCCAAACCTCTTGGAAGATGGGACCTAGCTGATGTCTTCCCTGCTGCATCCCAAGTTCAGTGACAGCTGGCCCATAGTAGGTGCTCCTCCTCTGCAAGGCTCAGCCGTGGGCCTTGGACCCTGAAGGCAGGAGGAGAAAGCAGGGTCTGTTGGAGGACAGCCTTGAGCCAGGCCTGAAAGCCACAGCAGGGAACAGGTCCATTTGAGTGGCTTTGCTCTTCTGCATCGGTCCACTGAGGATGAGAGCACTATGCACACAGGTGTTTAGGGTACTAGGTGGTCGGTAGATGAGGATTTGAGGAGCTGTTGCAGTGCCCCGTTAGAACCAGGCAGGTTAGTCAGGGGTTCAAGCTAGGAGGGCAGCCCTCCCCCCTCCTGGGGGCTCTGCCCTTTGCCAAGGGCACCTGCCCCTCCTCGGGGCCTTGCCAGCTTGCTCAGACATGCCAGGACTCTGCCAGATGTCCTTGGCCTAAGTTACAAAGCTGTTTTCACTTCCAAGGGCAGAGCTCAGGGGCTCTTGGAGAGCCATGGAGAAGTTCTGGACATCAGCAAGGGGGGGTTAAAAGTGTTGCTAGTTCTGGTTAGGCTTTGCAAACCCACCTTTGGTGGGAGAATAGGGAGGAATCCATTTTTCTCAAAATGCGTTTATTTTTGCTTCCTTGAAGTGTCCCATGTCTTTTTGTTCAGTTTTTTTAAATGTCAGCATGAAACAGTTGTTCATGGGCAAACTCTTCCCTAGCCAACCACAAAGCCCCGTCAGGCCTACCACCTGCTTTTTTTCTTTAAGATTTTATTAATTTTTTTTAGAGAGAAGGGAAGAGAAGGAGAAAGAGAGGGAGAGAAACATGAATGTGTGGTTGTCTCTCATACATCCCTTGCTGGGGACCTGGCCTGCAACCCAGGCATGTGCCCTGACTGGGGACCAAACCTGCGACCCTTTGGTTCACAGGCCTGCGCTCAATCCACTGAGCTGCACCAGCCAGGGCCCACCTTCTTTTGTAAATAAAGTTTTATTGGCACACAGTCACATCCCTTTGTTTACATTTTTTTATGGCTGTCTCACATCGGTAATGGTAGAGCTGAGTAATAGAGGCAGAGTATAGCCTACAAAACAAAAACATTGGCCCTGGCTGGGTAGCTCAGTTAGAGGGCTGACCCAGTGCACCAAGGTCATGAGTTGGATCCCCAGTCAGGGCACATTCGTTCAACCGATGAACGCATAAATAAGTGGGACAACACATCGATGCTTCTCTAAGAAAAAAATCTATTAAAATTTTAAATTAAAAAGATATGTTTCAGGCACTAACATAGGATCAGCTGACTTTTTTTTCTGTAAAGGACCTGGTAATAAGTGTTTTAGTCTCCGCTGGGCATGAGGCCCCATACTCACTCCACTGTTGTAGTTGGAAAGGAGCCGAAGACAACATACAGTGAACACGCGTAGTTGCTGCATTCACCATTTGTGCAAAACCGGAGGCGGGTCGGACGTGTCCCATGGGCTGTGGTTGGCAGACCCTCATGCTAGTCTAAGACCTCTCAATTCTGGGAAGTTTGGTTCTCAACATACCCATTCTGCAGATGGGTGAAACAAAGGCAGGGAAATCCTTCACTCCAAGGCTTCAAGCTGGCAAGCATCAGATCTACATAAACTTGAGTAGTCTGTGTGAAACCCAAGGGCCATACCCTAGTGTGCACCAGGGGAGCCTGAGCTGTGTGCTCTGTCTGCATCCCAACCTTCACGATGCTTCTCTTGCCTCCCTTCTGCAGCCCACCTCGCCACATCCGTGGAGGGCTCTGACGTGGCCTCAGTGCAGCAGCAGCGGCAGGAGCAGAGCTACTTCGTGCGTCTGGGCTCCCTGTCGGAGCGGCTGCGCCAGCGGGCCTACGAACACTCACTGGGAAAACTGCAGCACACCAGGCAGAGGGCCCAGGAGGCCCTGCTGCAGCTGACGCAGGCGCTCAGCCTGGTGAGGGCCTGCCCAGGCTTGGGGGTGTGGCACAGCAGCATCCACTCTCATGAGCCCTCCCCAAACCTAGTGGCTTATCGCTCACCATTCTGCACATCCACTTGGGCTGCTGGTTCATGTGACTGTGGTGCTGGATGAGTTTGCAGGGGCTGCCATAACGAAGTCCCATAGTGTAGGTGGTATAAACAACAGACATTTATTGTCTCTGTTCTGGAGGCTGGCAGTCCAAGATCAAGGTATTGGCAGAGTTGGGATTTCCTGAGGTCTGTCTTTTTGGCTGTAGATGGCCCTCTTCTTCCTGCGTCCTCACGTGGTCATCCCTCTGTGCATGTCTGTGTCCTGGTCTCCTCTTATAGGGACACCAGTCACACTGGATTAGGGCGCATTCTCATGACCTCTTTTTGACCTGATCTACGAATACAGTCACATTCTGCAGTCCTGGGGGTGAGAGCTTCAACATGCGCATTTGGAGGGGACACAGTTTGGCCCCACAGGTGGGCTGGAGGCTGGGCCTCTCACCATGGGCTCCTCCCTCAGCAAGCCAGCCCTTCCTTCCCCTGCAGGCGGCCGAGGGATCCAGGTGCAGCGAGAACACATAAAGCACATTTTCTTTTTGTTTTGTTTTAAGTCAGTTTCATGGAGGTATAATTTACATGCAATAAAAATCACCCTCTTTAAAGTGTACCATTTGAGGAGTTTTATAAATGTAAATGGACTTATCACTACTGCCCCATAAAGTCCCCCTGCCTCTGCACAGTCACATCCCCCCACCCAGCTGTTTTACTTCTCTGTTCCCTCTGTTACCTCTGCTAAGCATATCTCCTCTCTTTTAAAATATTTTCAGCTGTGGTGAACCACACGAGAAAATTTGCCGCCGCCACCATTTGTAAGCACAGCTCAGTGGCATTAAGTAATTCACATTGTGCGGCCATTCCCGTTGTCCAGCTCCAGAACTTTCTCATCTTCCCAAACCCAAAGTCTGTCCCCATTAGACACACCCCATCGCCTACCCCAACCCCTGGCTGCCACCGTCTTTGTGTCTCTGTGACTCTAAGGACCTCTAAGGTCCTCTAAGGACCTCATGTAAGTGGAGTCACACGGGATTTGTTCTGCTGTGTCTGGCTTGTTTCTTGAAGTGTGATGTCCTCAAGGTTCATCCCCATTGTAGCAGGTGTCAGCATTTCCGTCCTTTTCAAGGCTGAGTAATGTTCCATCGAGAGCACTTTCTAAGCTTGTGCTTCCGGTGTTCTGGTGGCCACCGCCACTCAGGTGGCCAGGCCCAGTTGCAAGGGAGGGGAGAAATAGAGGAAAATGGGAGGGGCTGCAGAAAATGTAGGGCCACTTTGTAGCTATGGAAACTGTGTTAAAACAGCGCCCTCCCACCTCCCCTCCCCTGATCTCAGATGAAAGGAGGACTCCAGGGCCTGCCTCTGGAATACCCCCTCTCCTGGGATAGCAGGGCTCTGCTGGCCTTGGTCGAGCACCGGAGGCAGCCTCCTTCACTGCTCTCTCTCCTGCTCTAGATGGAAACTGTCAAGCAGGGAGTTGATCAGAAGCTGGTGGAGGGTCAGGAGAAACTATCCCAGATGTGGCTCACCTGGAACCAGAAGAAGCAGCTCCAGGGCGCAGAGGGGGACCTGCCCAAGCAAGAGGTACCCACTGTGGGGCAGGGCGGGGGTGGGGCTTGGGGCCCTGACTTCCCTTTCCACACCTCTTCTCAGAGGCCTGCCTGGAACACTCCCTACGCCTCGCCTCCCTGTGCCTGCTTTCAGGACTCTCCAGCCTAGTTTTCTGTTCTTGGGTACAGGGGTTGCTTCTGAACCTGGGGCACTTGACAGTGATGTGTCTCAATGTGCTAAGCTACATCTTGAAACTCTTGTAACCTCCCCTCCCCCATCGCAGTGTCCCATCAAGCCCTTCATGTTTACCACCGGGCTCCAGCTCCAAGTAACTGCTGGCTTTCTCTGCTTCCTCCAGTCTGCCCCAAGCATTGGCCTCTCGCACCTGCTCTGCCTTTGGCTGCCTGTACCTTCCCTCATCCCGGCTTTCATTGAACCAACGCCTCACACAATCCTCACACCTCGTTCTGAATGGTACCCCCTTCCCAGTCTTAGGTCCGTACTAATACTAGAGCTTCTCAGCTTAACCTCTCTGGGCCTCGGTTTCTCCGTTGGTGAACGGAATATAGGACCTTCTGCAGGGCTGTTAAGATGAAACTAGCTAAACTCGTACGTGAATGTTCACAGCAGCCTTATTCACAATGGGCCAAGAGGGGGGAAAGCCCAGATGTCTGTCAGTGGGTAGATGGATGAACATGTGGCCCATCCATACAGTGGAGTGTCACTCAGACAGAAATAGAGTGAGGCACTGACGCCCGCTCTGACGTGAATGAACCGTGAGTGTATTACCCTCAGACAAAAAAGACCACGTATTATATGATTTCGTTTATGTGCAATGTCCAGAACAGGCAACTCTGCAGAGACAGAAAATGAATTCGTGGTTGCCAAGGGCTACGGGAGGGAATTCCTTTTGGAGGTGGTGGAATGTTCTGGAATTAGAGGTGGTACACAACCTCATGAATATACTAAAATCCACTGAACTGTACACTTAGAAGGGTGAATTTTCTGACACGTAAGTTATATATATATATATATATATATTTATATGATATATATATATATCTTATATGATATATATATATGATATATATATATATCTTATATGATATATATATATATGATATATATATATCTTATATGATATATATATATATATATATATATATATATATATATATATATATATATATATAAATGAAATGATGCCTTGGTTGGTGTGGCTCAGTGGATTGAGCACCGGCCTGCAAACCGAACGGTTGCTGTTTCGATTCCCAGTCAGGGCACATGCTTGAGTTGCGGGCCAAGTCTCCAGTAGGAAGCACATGACCACACATTGCAACCACACATTGACATTTCTCTCCTCTTTCTCCTTCCCTTCTCCCTGTCTAAAAATAAATAAATAAAATCTTTTAAAAGAGATTAAATGAGTTCATAAGTAAAGCACATACTGCTACAAAAGTGGTGTTTATAAAGATCCCATGAACATCTCTATAAACGTGCATCTGCTCAACATCGAGACCCAAACTGCAGAAAACCATCTCCCTATGCCACCCCCCCTCCCCGCCGCCCGCTGCTGACTGCAGCAGCAGAAGACACCGATTTGTGCTCCCCTCTACGCCTCGCCTGCAGGTGCAAGTCCAGAGCCCTCGGCCAGCAGCGCTGGGGCAGTCCTGCAGCCCTGGGGCAGTCCTGTGCGGATCTCCTTCCTGCCACAGGAATTTTCTAGGACTGGATCTAAACTGCTCATGACTTCTGCCAGAAAGTTCTTCCAGATATTCTCTCTTTTTTAAAATTTAAAAAAGACAATTTTGAGATATAAAAATATCTTACACTTTTTTTTAAAGCTTTAATTTTTAAGATATAATTCACATCCCGTACAATTCACCCAATTAAAGTGTGACCCAGTGGTTTTTGGTATACAGATGCTCCTCAACTTACAACGGGTTACGTCCCCATAAACTCTTCGTAAGTCGAACATACCCTAAATCGAAATTCATCCACTACACCTCACCTACCGAATGTCACAGCCTGGCCACGCCCACTGTGAACGTGCCCTGGGGTTGGGCAAAATCCTGCCGTGCTGCCGGCCAGCACCGCGGGACAATATCAGACTGGCATCGCTAGCCCAGCACGAGATCCAGATTCCAGATTCAAAGTATGCATGTCACTCTTGCACCATCATAAAGTTGAATAATGGTAAGTTGAAACATCATAAATTGGGGACTGTCTGTATTCACGGAGTGCGGGACTTTTACCACAATCCAGTTAGGACCTTGTACTCACCCCCAAAAGAAGCCCTGTGCCCATGAGCAGTCACTCCCCGGCCCTCTCCCCCAGCCACTAACCCACTACCTGTCTCTGAGGACTCGCCTATTCTGGGCATTTCTCATACATGGAAGGCCACACCCTGTGGCCTTTTGTGTCTGACTTCTGTCATGGAGCATCATGGTCTCAAGGTCCACCCACACTGTAGTGAGTATCAGAGCTTCACCCTTTTTCGTAGCTAAGTAATATTCCAGTGAGGGCCACACTGTGGCTGGGTTGCCAGCTTATGGACATCGAGGTTGTTTCCACTTGTGACTGCTGTGAGTAGCGCCCCTAGGAATGCTTAGGTACAGGTCTTTGTGTAGACGTGCTGCTGGATTACATGGTGACTCGGTGGTTCAATATTCTGAGGAGCCACCAGTCTGTTTCCCACAGCGACTGCACCACCGGCCAGTCCAAGTGCTCTGACCCCTCCCCACCCTGCAGACCCTCGTTCTTATCTTTGTGGTTCTGTCAGCTCTCTCAGTGAGTGGGGTGTTTCATTGTGGGTTTGAGCTGCGTCTCCCTGACGGCTAGTGAAGTTGAACATCTTTTCATGTCCTTTTCATGGCCATCTGTGTGTATCTTTGGAGAAATGTCTGTGCCTCTCTTTCACTTTGACCAGTGTGTATCTCACGGTTCACAACTCTGAGAGCTGGTATTCCGGAGCACAGTGCTAGGCGGCCTCTCCTATGGAATGGTTTTCCTGAAGGTCAGCGGTAGAACCGCTTTCTTTTTCCCCTTCTTTGAATCCAGTTTCCCCCAGAGCAGTGGTCCTGATCGCCCCCCACCCACTCTCCCTTCTCAGCAGGTCGAGTCCCAGACGCTCACCATGTTCCGGGACATTGCCCAGCAGCTGCAGGCCACCTGCACCTCTCTGGGGTCCAGCATCCAGGGGCTGCCCACCCACGTGAAGGACCAGGTGCAGCAGGCTCGGCGCCAGGTGGAGGACCTCCAGGCCACCTTTTCTGGCATTCACTCCTTCCAGGACCTGTCCAGCAGCGTCCTGACACAGAGCCGAGAGCAAGTGGCCAAGGCCCGGGAGGCCCTGGACCACATGGTCGAGTACGTGGCCCAGAGCACACCCATCACCTGGGTGGTGGGACCCTTCGCCCCTGGAGTCGCTGAGAAAGCCCAAGAAGAAAAGAAGTAGGATAGACAGTAAGGGGGCTCAGCAACTCAGTCCCTCTCCTAGGGGACCAGCAAGGAGCCCTGAACCCCCATCCCCTACCCCCCAGCCTATCAGCTGCCACCCTGGGAAGCTGGGGCCTCTCACAGACCAGTCCCACCCCCTCTCTGAGCCCGGAGGAGGCATGTTCTGACCTTATCAGTCATTCGTGTGAGGTATCTGGAAATTTTTTTCTAGAAGCCTTTAAAACAATTGTTTTAGAAGAAGGTCCCAACTTTTTTTTTCTTTCTTAAAAACCAGGGACATAGTTCTCCCATCCCACTTCCTTTTCTACATCCAGAGCCCCAGACATCAGTCTTTAGGAACTGGACTTGGACCTCCGGCCTGAGAAGTGGGCCTCCTGCCACAGGGTGGGGGTGGGGCTCCCCAGCGCTTTGTAGAGCAGAAAGGGGCCGAGGCCTGCCCAGCAGCTCATAGGTGCCTGGAGCTTCAGTGTCGCCTTAATAAATTTTACCTGCAGCTAATTGCAAGCATGTGTGTGTGTGTGTTTGTGGGTGTGTGTGTTTTCCCAGCAGCTGAGCAGTTCCGGGGGTCTCTGTGTGGCATGGGTGGGACAGGGATGGACCTGCTACTGAACTTGAAGTTCGGCACCCATGTTGGTTGTCAGCAGTGTGCTCGCCATACTTGCTTGGCCTTGAGTCGTCGAATTTGGTCCTGGACATTACAGAAGAGCAGGATGCGAGGAGGGCCTTTCCTCCCCACCCTGGCGTGCCGGAGTCTTCCCCCTGGGTCATGTCACGTCACACTTACGTAGCAGAGCAAGAAGCCTGCTGCGTTTTTCACAGTGGAACTTCTTAGGTGTGTGGGGAACAGTGTGGCGGGCTGACCCCTCCAACACATCCACATCCTGACCCCTAGGACCTTTCTGCCTGACAGAGGGGACTTCGAGGATGGGATTCAGTTAAGAACCTAGAGAGGAGAGGTGATCCTGGATTACCCAATGGGCCCTAAATGTCATCACAAGGGTCCTTTAGGGCAGAGGGAGGCTGGAGGGTCAGAAGTGGAGGAGATGTGAGGGCAGAAGCGGAGATGGGAAGATGCTGTTCACCTTGAAGATGGACGAGGCCACAAGCCAAGGATGCAGGCACCTTTATAAGCTGGAAAAGGCAGGAAACAGATTTTCCCCTGAAGCTTCCAGAAAGAACCAGCCCCGCCAACACCTTGAGTTTTGCCCCATAAGACTCATTTCAGACTTCTGACCTCCAGAATTGTGAGATGGTGCACTGTGGCTTTTTCAGCCTCCAGTTTGTGGTCACTGTTTGCAGCAGCTGCAGGGAGCTCACACCAGGTGCAAGGACTTCAAGTTGCCACTGAATAGAACTCAGTTTGTCCACTCGTGTCACTAGCTGTGTTCCCGCTGCTCTGGTGCCCTTTACTTACGACACCAAAGCCAAGTCCTTCCTCGCCCACTCTGGCCCAGGGCTGTTGCCCTCACTTCTCACACATACCCCTTTGACCTCCTCAACCTTGCAGGTTAGGTCTCCCCTCTTCAGAGGTAACAAAATGGAAGCACACAGCCGGGGAATAGGGTCGCCGCCTCTAAGCCGTGTCCTCAGTGCCACTAATCTGTGCTCATTCTATTTGCTGCACATTCCTGAGGGCCGGGCGTTCTGTGCTCCTCAGGGCTGGCTGGGCATCCCTGGACCCAGCCCAGTGATGGGACACGGGTCTACTGGCTAGTTCCCCAGTTCCTGGTGGGGACCTCTAGGTGGGGGCCTTTGCTTCCCTGTCCCTCAGTGTCATCACCTGAGACTCAGCTTCAGTGTAGCTCTGCTGCAACGGTTTCGTGGGATTGTGCATTTAAAGAGTCTGGTACTGGTGCTACCTCGGAGTTCGTCCCTCTTGGTACAGTGCACATGTGAAGCCGGATCATTTTCTGTGGGGGGCTGTCCTGGACACTGTGGGGTGTTCAACAGCATCCCTGGCCCCCGTTTACTTGACGCCAGGCCGTGACAACCACATCTGCCCAACATCCCCTGAGGGCAGAATCACCCCCTGGTGAGAACCAGTGAATTAGTCGGTTCCCTCCCAAACACTTATTTTCGTGCCTTTTGCTTAAATGAGTCACCGAGGTTCCCCAAACAGGGCTGCTGATCTGTCAAGAAGCAAATCTCTTTGTGCTAAGGATGCTCAGCTAGCAGCGAGCATGGCCGTGAGTCGGGTGCTCTTCTGAGAGCACTTGGTGGATGTCAGCCTCGTTCTCATTTTAGCCCTCTGAGGTGGTTGCTACTAATCTTCCCATTTTAGAGGTGGGGGAACTGAGGTGGACAGAAAACACATAATTTGCTCAAAGTCTCCTGGTCCATAAGTGGTAGGGGACCTAGGTCTCAGACCTGGGCAAGCTGGCCCTGGAGCCCATGAGGGCCTGGCAAGCAAGCCGGGACTCTTGTCTTTCAGCGTGTGCCCTGGCTTGCTGGAGGAGCTGGCTGCTTGGCCTCTCTGCTCCTCACTGTCCCACCCCTCTGCAAAACGGATGTGTTACTTATTTTCATATAGCAAGTTTCCATGAACTTAGTGGCTTTCAACATATTTTCCAAAATACTTTTGTAAAGTCAGTTGTGATGTAATTAGAAGACTGTTTATCCATCACAGGCAGCATCCAGTCTGCTCTTTTGTGTTCGTTCCTGTTCTGATGGATGAGCAATCGCAGACTTTACTTTGTAAAAAAAAAAAAAATGCTGTTGGTGGCACTGGGCAAATCCCCTCTCTCTTAGAGGTTGGGACTGGAAGAGGGAGGATCTCTTTTTCTTTCTTTCTTTTTTTTTTAAAGTATGAGTCGGGGGTTTTTTCCAAATAACTTTTTTTTAAAGATTTTATTTATTTATTTTTAGAGAGGGAAGGGGGGGAGAGAGAGAGAGAGAGAGAGAGAGAGAGAGAGAGAAACATCAATGTGCAGTTGCTGGGGGCCATGGCCTGCAACCTAGGCATGTGCCCTGACTGGGAATCGAACCTGTGATGCCTGGATCGCAGCCTGCGCTCAATCCACTGAGCTACACCAGCCAGGGTGGGAGGACCTCTTTTTCAAAGTTCATGGCCCACAAAGCCTAAAATTTCTACTCCTGTAAAGTTTCCCATCCTGTGTAGGAAAAGTTTGCCAGCCTCTGCTTGGGATTGTGCTTCCTGCTGCATTTTACTGCTTAGACTGAAATACTCCTCCTGGCAGCTAAAAGCTGTGATGTTTTGCTGCAGTAATGGGAAACATCATCATGTCACACGAATGGTGCCAGAGCTAACTGTGGGGCCCCTCTCCAGCAGCAGCTCACAGGGACGATATGGGGGTGCAGGATAGCCGGGGCTGATGCTGGGGTGATGGGATGAACCAGCACCATGTCTGCCCCCAACTGAGGCACGCAAGTGAGAGGGGGACTTCGGCACACACCCACCAGGCCCCCTAGAGAGCTAAAGCGACTTTCTGTGACTTCTCATTAGCAAGGGCAGGGTAATGTAGCTTTCTCCTGAGTGCTCTGGGTCCGAGGGGCAAGAATTTACAAAGCCTTATTTGAAAAGCAACTTGGGGCCCCTCCCTTAGAGTCTAGCAGCCCCAACCTGTGTTTGTGCCCAAGCTGTGTGTGGATGTCCACACAGGGACTTACCCCCAAATGTTCACGGCTGCTTCAGTCACAACAGCCCCCAACTGAAACACCACCTGAGTGGGCATCCAGGAGAGAACAGATAAGCAACTGGGGTAGATGCACTCTGTGGAATATTGTACAGCAAGGAACAAGGACAGATTACCAATATTTGATATTTATAATCACATGGATGAAACTCACAGGCATGATGTTGAGTGGAAGAAGCCAGACACAAGAGAATCCATACTCTGGTTTCATTTCAGTGAAGTTTCAAGACAAGTGAAACTGAACTGTGATGAGGGAAACCTACACAGCGGTAGCCCAGGGGGCAGTGATGTAGGAGGGGCTGGCGGGCAGTTCTTGAATCTGAAATGAGCTACCTCTTGGCCTGGGTGTTAGCTACCAGGAGTGTATATATAAGCAAAAGTCCACTGAGATGCTCATTTAAGATTTGTATACTTTAGCACCTATAATGATACTTCAATACAAATTAAGAAAGTGAAAGTGACATGTGGTGGTGACGGAGGAAATGAGCCCTTTCGTTCACTTCCAGTGGGAGTACAAACAGGGAGCCCTGATTTGCAGAACAGGCGGTAGTATTTAGTAAGAGCAAGAGTGTATCTTTTCCACATGGGAGGAGAAGTCCCAGAAGTTCCCCTTCCCCACAGCTACCCTCCAGAAACCCTGCAGACAGGCGATGTCATCACCTCCATGTTACACAGGAGGGAGACTGAGGCACCAGTCAGAAGACCAGCCCTTAGCCCCACCTCACAGCTAGTAAGTAAGGGTCATAGTACTCAAATCTCCCCCCACCTGGGCGCTGTGCTCATAACTGCCACCTCGTAAGGTAGCAAGGCCTGTTGTGGGGGAATAGTGGAAGCAACCAGCATGTCTAATGACAGGGGACCCAATAAATGGTGATACAGCCATGCTTAATGAAACCATGACACACTTAAAAAGAACAAGGTTAGGCTACACATTATTTGATTAGAAAAACATTAGAGATGTTGATGGAATAAAGCTAAATATTGATGCCATCTATGTCCAGAGTCAGTGAACTAGGGCCAGTGTCTGGTCCACCACCTGATTTTTGTAAATAAAGTTTTATTTACACACAGTCATGCTCATTTATTGACACATTACCTGTCAGTGCTACGACAGCAGCATCACGTCAGGCCAGAAATGCCGACGATAATTACTATCTGGTCCTTTACAGAAAAAAACGTTTGCTGACTTCTGGCAGACACGAATTAAAAAGCCAAACCAGACTGAAGAATACTAAATGTCACATGCATGGATATGTGCATACATGTGCAAAACTGAAGGGATGGGTGCCCAACTGGAATGTGGCCTTTCTGTCACCGAAGCAGGGAGGTGGGCAACCTGTCTGCAGACAATCAGATTTATCCATCTGGAGCCCAGGGTCTCCCCTGGAAGCTGGCACGCTCCAGCTGTTACTCCCTCTGAGCCTCAGTTTTCTCACCTATAAAAGGGGCACATTCAAACCTCCTGGAAAGGTCAAGTCATGGATCAGATGTATTTGGCTTAGAGGCAGGCACAAAAGTTGGTGATGGTGGGGCAGCAGGGAGGGAGGCATGGGGAGGTGGGTTTAATGCACTCTCCCCCTCCAGCTCCAGAGGCCCCACAGGCAGGGACCACTTCTTTCTTCCTGATGTATCCCCAAAGCCTGCCCGTGCCTAGCACACAGTAGGTACTCATTAAAATTTCTCCCGAGCCAGAGCCAGAGCCAAGCATTAAGTACCAGCCCCCTGGGGGGTTGCCTCCATATAACTTCCACTTGCTACCCCCCAACCCATGAACCTTTAGGTGAACTTTGTCCTGAGATTCATGGACCGCCTGTCAGACCTGATGACAGAGTTCAGGGTGTCCAAGAACTGCTGGGGGAAAATGCACATCTTCATCTTCACTGACTCTCACTAACATTTATCATTTGCTTGAATTATGAACAAAGGCAACAGGCCTTGGGATTTCACCACAGGTGTTTTCCAGTCGGACTGCGTCGCTGCAGGTGCTCAAAGTGCCGCTGACGCTCGTCTCCACCACAATGTCACTGCAGCCGTTAGATCCTGTTAGTTAATACGGTGGTAAGGGTGTATCCCTAAGTGTTTGTTTCAGAATAGCTCTATTTCAAAAGTATTTTTTAAAAGATTTTATTTACTTTTAGGCAGAGAGGGAGGGAGGGGGAGAGGGAGAGAAACATCAATGTGTGGTTGCCTGTCACACGCCCCCTCCTGGGGACCTGGCCCACAACCCAGGCATGTGCCCTGACTGGGAATTGAACCAGTGAAACTTTGGTTCACAGGCCGGCAACTCAATCCACTGAGCCACACCAGCCAGGGGTCAAAACTATTTTTAAAGTGATTGTCTTACAAATTTTTTTCTTGCTCTTAAAAATTGTGGTAAAATATACTTAACATAAAACCTACCACCTTAACCATTTTTAAGTGCACAGCTCAGTGGCATTAAGTCCACTCACGCTGCTGTGCAGCTGTCCCCACCATCCGTCTCCAGAACTTTTCCATCTTCCCAGACTCAAACCTGGTCCCAATGAAACACTAACTCCCCACGCCCTCCCCAGCCCCGACTCCCACTGTCTTTGTGTTTCTATGAACCTGACTCCTCTAGGGACTTCACATAAGTGAAATCACACAATGTTTGTCCTTCTGTGTTGGCCTATGTCACTGAGCATCTTGTCCTCCAGGTGCATCCATGCTGCAGCAGGTGTCAGAACTTCCTTTTCCTCACTCAGGGATATGTTTATTGGTTTTAGAGAGAGCGGAAGGGTGAGAGAGAGAGAGAGAAACACTGGCTGCCCCACCCCACATCATGTACCTCAAATGGGGATTGAACCTGAAACCCAGGCATGTGCCCTACTGGGAATCGAACTCATGACCTTTTGGTGTACAGGATGATGCTCCAACCAACTGAGCAACCCAGCCAGGGCAGAACTTCCTTTTTAAGGCTGAACAATACGTCGTCCATTGAATTGAAATACCACATTTTGTTTATCCATTCACCCAATGATGGATTACTAACTTGTTTAAAAAATATTTTAATAAATGCATGGCAACATAATATCCCTATAACCTCCTGTATTTTGCTTTGTGAATCTACAAATGGTATTTTGAGAAGAGACTCCTCAATTCTCCAAGCAGACAAACAAAGGAGCTCAGAAGAAGGCATTTATAATTTGGTAGACCCCTTACTCCATTAAATATATATATATATACACACACACACACTCCATTATATATATATTCCATTATATATATACTCCATTATATGTATATATACTCCATTTTATATATATATATACACCCCATTATATATATATATATTCCATTATATATATATATATATATATATATATATATATATATATATATATATATATATACACTTACTACACTTTACCAACTGCATTGGTATGAAGATGAATAGAATCCAGGTTGGATTCTATGCATTCTTTTTCTTATTTTAAAAGAAATGAAAACTTTTTGTGGGCCCCTAAAAGTGTGATGGGTAGTGTCTTAGCTATGAGTAGTGTCTTAGCTATGTCTTAGCTATGTGTCTTAGCTATGCCCCATAGATATGTCCCTTCCGGGTCCAGGACACCTGAAAGGTTAGGACCCCTGCAAATTCTAAAACGTCATGTTAGCAGCTTCAAGATATGCTGTCTTGGCCTTGCAGACACGGCTGCCCAGAGGCGTCCTGTGCCCAGCCCTGGTCAACCCCACCGTGTTCTTCGACATCGCTGTGCAGGGCGAGCCCTTGGGGCGCATCTCCTTCGAGCTGTTTGCAGACAAAGTCCCAAAGACGGCAGAAAACTTTCGTGCTCTGAGCACTGGGGAGAAAGGATTTGGTTATAAAGGCTCCTGCTTTCACAGAATTATTCCGGGATTCATGTGCCAGGGTGGCGACTTCACGCGCCACAATGGCACAGGCGGCAAGTCCATCTACGGGGAGAAATTTAATGATGAGAATTTCATCCTGAAGCACACAGGTCCTGGCATCTTGTCCATGGCAAATGCTGGACCCAACACAAACGGTTCCCAGTTTTTCATCTGCACGGCCAAGACCTCGTGGCTGGATGGCAAGCACGTGGTCTTCGGCCAGGTGAAGGACGGCATGGATGTCCTGACTGCCATGGAGCGCTTCGGGTCCAGGAACGGCAGGACCAGCCGGAAGATCACCATCACTGCCTGTGGACAGCTCTCATGAACGTGACTTTTGCTTTATCGTAACCACCTGACCATTCCTTCTGTAGCACGGGATAGCACCCTTTCACCCCCGTCTGCTTGGAATGTTCTGCCATCCTCGCGCTCTTGCCCGGCTCGTCATTTCCATGTTTTCCTTACCCCTTCCAAGTTCAGCAGGATTGTGGAGTCAAGTTTATGGTTGTAAAATAAAAACTAAACAAAAAAAAGACATGCTATCTTGCTTCCCCTCATCCCACCACACGGGTTCCCCAAAACAACTCCTGGATTCCCATTCCTCGCAATTTGGGGGCGCCCCTGGGCCCACCCCCCATTTTCCCAGCCCCTGTTCTATTTCCTGGATAGCACTGATCACTAACGGAGATGCTCTGATTTTAAATTGCGGTTCTTTTCTCACTAGATTGTGTCCCCCCCACCCCGCCGGCCTAGGGCAGGGCCTTGTCCCTTTTGACCCCCGTCGAGGTTCCCAGAGCGCCTACCACAAGTGTCCAAACTGAAGCGGGGAAGCGTGCGGAGCGGAGCAGGGAGGCGCTGCGGGACCTCTCGGGGACTTTCCGGGGTACCGCCAGGATAAGTGTGACCTCACCTCCCCTGCTCGTGCCTGCCCACGGAAGGGGAAGGCAGTGTGGAGGGCCTGCCCACACTCCCTCTGTGCTCGCTCGGCCCTCCATCCGCGTTACTGCCGTGCGGTCCCGCCACAAACGCTGGCCCGGAGGACTCGAGCGGCAGCGTGCGCGGCCTCCCCACCGCGGAAGCCCCGGTAAGTGAAGAAGGCGCGAGGGTCGTCTGTGTGTCGTGGCATGTGCCTGGGGCGTCTGCAGCTGGCTGGGCGCCCGTGGCGCCTTGCCAGGTTCAAGGCCGGCTGCTCCAGCCCTCCGAGCTTCCGCCGTCAGCGCGCCGCAAGTTTGGTGCCCTTCTCAAGGATCCAGCCTGCCTCTCTAGTAACTCAGGTCCGTCCCACCCCCACCCCCCGTTCCCCCCACACCCTGAATTCCTTCCCAACACCCTGAATGTTTTCCCAATCCTTCAGATCTCCTTCAATCTCCGCTCCCTTTTCTCCCCTATGTTTCTGTTTTCAAGTCTCAGCCAGAGCTTTCTCTGCCTTAGCCCCTGTTCCTCTTGCCCAGGGACGCTGCCTCCGCTGCTTCCGCCGCCCCTCCTCTTAGTCCCTTCTGAGACCTGAACCCCTCCTTTCCCAGAGGATTTAGGGTGTGGGCCCACCAGAACCCCCCTCCCACGATAGGTCCCTTGGTCCGCCCTGGATCCGCTGAAATCGTGAAATCTCCACCCCCCGCCCCAACCTCCTATCCTTTTCCGTGGGGTCTGGGATTGGCACTAAGAACTGCTGCAAATTTGGCCTGCCGGTGCTGGCGCTGGCACCTGCCAGAGCCCCGGGGGCCCCGCGCCCACACGTCTGTCTTTCTTCTCACTGTGGCCACACAGCAGGGGATCGGCAGAGGGGGCATCACAGTGTGACCCAGGCAGGCTGGAGGTCTGCGGTGGGGTTCCAGAGTTTGGGGGTGTGTAGGTGAGTGAGGCAGACTCCCGAAATGGCCTGGGCCTCTTTCCTCCTCTGATTCAGGGGCATTTATTAAATCTCCAGCAAATGCTTATGGAGTCCCTGCTCTAGGTCAGGAGACACTGTTGAGTGTGCTGGACACACAGTAGGGACCGTGTAGTTAGTGCTGTCATGGAGCCCACAGTCAAGACAATCAGCAAAAACTGAAAGGTCACAGCAATGCATGCCAAATGCCAAGAGTGGATATCAAGTAGCTTCCCCACTGGACTGGTGTGAGGATTCCTCAGAGCCAGGAGTGGGAAGGGGCCTGCATGTAGTAGGTGCTCAGTAAACACTTATTGAATAACTGCCTCTTTGGTTTCCTATACAGCTTTCAGAGGCAGTCTGGCTATGTTTTGCTTTGCAGGTCTTGTAACATTTCTTAATTAGCCAAAAAGGAGTGAAGTGCACCCCCACTGTGCTCTAGTGCTGGTGGGAGTAGATTAGATTCATTGTCTTCTTGGGAAGAAAGGAGTCAAGCAGGGAATGTTTTTGAGGACTTACTATGTGCCAGATGCTATTCTGTCCACTCATTGATATATTTAGTCAGTAAATATTTATTAAGCACATACCGTGTGCCAGTCACCAGAGATACAGCCGTGAACAGGATGGATGGACATCCCTGTATTACTGGAACTTACTCCAGTGGAAGGTGATGCATATTCAACAAAGTAAGCAAATGAAAGTGAGTGTCAGGTGGTAAGAAGTTGACAGAAGAAAAGAAAAAGGCAGGGAGTGTGGGGGGATGGGGTTTAGTGTTAAGTGGGGTAGCCAAGGTCTGATCTTGATGAGGAGGTGCCATTTGAGCTGAGAACTCAAGGACACAAGGGGGCCAGCTGTTTGTATATCTGGGGTGTTCTAGGCTGAGGGAACAGCCATAGTAAAGGCTCTGAGACGGGATCCAGCATGGAGTATTTAATGAACAGCGTGGCTGGATCAGAGGGAGTGAGGGGGAGAATGGAAAGAGGTGAGGGCAGGGAGGTGACAGGGGCCTGAAACAACCCTTGATTACTCCCTCCTGACCCCAGATCAGCTTCTTCCACATCATTCCAGGCTCAAGCATTAGTGCCAAAAGCTCAGGTGTCCTCCGTGCCTCCTCCTGCTCCCTTGCTGTCTCCAAATTACCCACAGAGCCAACCATCCCCATCCTTCACTGAGACCACCACCTGGTCCAGTGCCCATCATTGCTGGCCTGAACCAGTGGTCACCTCCACCTTGGTCTCCAGCACCTCTCCTCCTGTCCTTGCCCCCAGCAGTCTGTCCTCCCTGCAGTAGCCCCTCTGGGCTGTGAGCGCCTATGTCAGGTCCTGCCCCCACCCCCATCCACAGACATCCAGGGCTCCTATCACAGTGGGGTAAAAGCCCAAAACCTCCCCACTATGCACAAGGTCTGGCATGACTTGCCCCCCCGCCAGCCCTCATCTCCTCCCTGAAATCACTCTGCTTTAGCCATGTGGGCCTGCTCACTGTTCCTCCAACATGCCAGGCACAGTCCTACCCTAGGGCCATTGCACATACTGTTTCTGCTGCCTGGATTATGAATTTTATATATATTTTATATATATATCATATAGATAACATCTATATGATAATAATTAATGTACTCACTGGACTGTCAGCTCCAAGAGGGAAGAATCTATATCTGTTTTTTTCTCTTACTGTCCTGGTATATTCAATGATACCCATTACATGGTTGAACCTGAAAAATTACTTCTTGAATGAATGAATACTATGTATGTATCCCTTCCCTCTCCTCATACCATTTACTTATTACACAACAAATATTTTTAGCTCTGACTGGTGTGGCTCAGTGGGTTGGATATCATCCCACAAACCAAAAGGTCATCAGTTCGATTCCCAGTCAGGGCACATGCTTCTTAAGTTGCTGGCCAGGTCCCTAGTGGGGCCATGGAAGAAGCAACTGATAGATGTTTCTTTTGCACATCAGTGTTTCTCTCCCTCTCTTTCTCCCTCCTTTCCTCTCTCTCTAAAAATAAATCAATAAAATCTTATTTTAAAAAACAAGTATTTTTAGAGTTTTTCCTCCATGGATGACACACTGGCCATCCATGACCTCAAGGACCCATGATCCTTTTTTTTAAGCTCACAAGTTCACTTACTTGAATTGGCTGCCAACATGGCAAAACCTAGCAGCTTCCTGAAATTCTGAATGTTGTCAAGCTGCTCTTGAAATATTAGCAGATCTGGTCCTGTTAAGTCCGTTTTCTCTCATAGCACCAGGCACAAGTCAAAGCCACTGCATTCAGACAGGTCTAAGGTGTTTTTGGTTTTTAGGTCCCCCCTCAATTGGGGCAGCAACTCAAGTCCTCCCTGCAGCCCACAAAGCCCTGTGTGACCAACCGCCTGTTCCTTCCGTTCTCACCTCCTTTCTCCCCACCCTCACTCACTCCATGTAAGCCACATGGGTCTCCTCGCTGTTCCTCCGACGTAGCAGACAGAGTCCTGCCCCAGGACCTTTGCACAGGTTGTCCCCTCTGCCTGGATGTTCTCTTCCCTCAGAAGACTCCAGGGGTCAACTCCCTCCCCATTTTTATGTCTTAATGAAATCTCTTCTTCTCACTGAGGCTTTCTTGAACCACCATGTTTAAAACTGCAAATACCCTCCCCGATTCTGGGCATTCAAGACACGCCCCCTCACCCCTGTCATGTTTTTCCATGGCACTTATCACCTGTTGATACACGGAGAATTCCACTCATGTACTTGTTGGTTGTCCTCCACACTAGAAAGTCAGCTCCGTTGTTTGGGTCTCGGCTGCATTTCAACACATCAGGCCACTTCCATTTTCCAAACAGCCAGGCAGTCACCGACCTCCTTAATCCTTCCCACAGCACTGCTGTTCTCCTCTGTACCACTGCTGTCCTCTGTCACCCACGGCCCTCAGCCACGCCCCCTCGCACCTCCACTCCCCGAGGCCAGCATCTGGGCGGGGCCATGCTGTCTCTGCCCTGCCACTGACCTCCCTAGAATCAGCAGCCGTGGTCCAGGTGCCCCGGTGAACAATATGACATCTGTAAATTCATTTTTAAAATGAATTTTTTAAAAATCTTGAATCCTAGCTCCAGCTGGGTAACTCAGTTGATTAGGATATCACCCCAATACACCAAGGTTGTGGATTTGATCCCCAGTCAGGGCATATACAAGAATCAACCAATGATGGCATAAATAAGTGGAACAACAAGTCAATGTCTCTCTCTCTCTCTCCATTGCCCCCTCTCTCTCTAAAAAAAAAAATCAATAAATAATAAAACTTTTTAAAAGTCTCGAATTCTAGACTAGGGTCCCTCAGCATCAGCATTTACCAACATTTGCAGCTAGATCACTCTCTGTGGGGGGCTGTCTTGGGCACTGTGGGGTGACGAGCAGCATCCCTGGCCTCCACCCACTCGACACCAGGGGCACCCTCCCCCACAGTTGTGACAGCCAGAAGCGTCCCCAGACCTCACCCAGTGTCCCCTGGGAGAAGAGGCGTCCCCGTGGAGCAGCGCTGCCCCAGGCTGTGGACACGTTCCGTGGCAGCCCGGAGGCACAGGCGTTAGGCCGCAGCCCCGCCGAGCTGGGGTGCAGACCCAGTGTTCTTGGCCCCCTGAGACGGACCTGTGTTTCCCCTCAGCCTGAATATGACATGATTTGAGCACCCAGTGACCTAAATTACGGGGTTTGGGACACCCTCCCCACCATCTGCGCCAGGCGCCCTTGGAAAGGCCTTCTCTCTGGGCCTGTTTCCTTTCCTCAGCGTTGGGAGGAGAGGAGTGTGGGGCTGATTCATTCACCCAGCAGGTGTTCATTAGGTTCCGTAGTTCACTGCCCGAGCAGTGCCCGGGAGACACTTGCCCTGCACCCTCTGATGCCCCCGGTCGGAAAGCGGACAGTAAATGTGAAAGGTTCGATGCACAGGAAAAGTTCTCCCAGAGGCAGATTCTGCTGTGGGGGAAACAGGGTGATGTGGGAGGGACAGGCTGGTATGGGGAGCTGAGGTGGTTGTGGACGGCTCCGCTGAACCTGCGCTGGTGTCACTGTACTCGAGGGCTGAGCGAAGAGACTATGGTCACCCAGGCAAAGGTCTGGGGATAAGGTTCTCCAAGCAGAGGGAACGGCGCCTGCAGAGAGCCTGAAGTGGGAATAGCGTGCCATTTTTTGAGACATAGAAGAGGACATAGCCTCCACATGGCTTGGCAGTGCTGTTAGGCCTAGAGCCAGCACACGGTAATGATTAGCGCACTGTATTAACAATGCTACTTATATCAGTTAGCTATATGTATAGCTGCGTAACGAATCACCGCAGAATGTCGTGGCTTAAAATCAACAAACATGTGTGATCTCACACAATTTCTGAGTGTCAGGCATCTGGGGGCAGAGAGGTGGAGGCTTCTGTCTTGGAGTCTCCATGGAGGCCACAGACGAGCTGGCGGCTCAAGCCGCTTCACCTGGAGACTTGACCGGGGCTGTAGTCAGTGGGAGCCCAAGCTCACGCCCTGCATGGCTAGTGGCAAGGGGCCCTCAGTTCCTCGCCACATAGGCCTCTCCATGGAGCTGCTCACGACGTGGTTTGTCCCCAACAGCATGACAGACAAAGAGAGAAAGCCAGTATGTTTTATAACTTATGTCATGAGTGACACCCCCTCAGTTCTGCCATCTTCTCATAGGCTGACTTGGGCTCAGTGTTGGAAGGACCACTCAGGGCTGTGAATACCAGGGTTGGGGGCTCACTGCAGCCATCCAAACGTGTATTGAGCACCTGCCGACCTCCAGTCAGTGGACCCAGAACTTCCCATACATTGACATAACTCAGTTCCCTGAAACAATCCCATAAGTGGGCTTATTATTATCATAATAGGCGGTGTAGTCTCATGGTTAAGGACACGACCTCTGGAGCCAGACTGCTTGGGTTCAAATCCCACCTCTGTCACTCACTGGCTATCTGACTTTGCACAAGTGACTTCACCTCTCTGGCTCACTTTCTTCATTTGCAAATGAGGGAAATAGTAGTGTCTGCCTCTAGGGTGACACCTGGAAAGTGTCAGCTGCTTTCCTCTTGTAGAGGAGGAAACAGTTTGGAGGAGATGACACGTCTTGCCCAAGTTCCCCCGATATAGCAGGTCATGGTGGCCTCTGAAGGTGGGGTATCTGGGCTGCTTCCCAGGGACCACCCCCTCTCTGGTGCTAACATGCTTCCTGCTTCCCACAGGTCTGCTCTGGCAGTTCCTCGGAGTCCGGCATGGTGAGCGGGTAGGGGACACCGAGCGTGCAGGAAGGCAGGCGGTGTGGAACATGCCTTCGCCAGCGGGCACTTCTGCCATTGGAGGCTTCACCCATCTTGCCCATGGCCTGCACGGGCCCGTCACTCTCCAGTGCCTTTGACATTCTGAGTACAGCAGGCCAGAACAAGCTCCTGCATCTTAAGCACAAGCTGAAGACCCTGCGCCCATGCTGGCGGGGGGCGGACCTCCTGCACGCCATGGTGCTTCTGACACTGGGCCAGGAGACTGAGGCCAGGATCTCCCTGGAGGCCCTGAAGGCAGATGCGGCGGCCCAGCTCGTGGCCTCCCAGTGGGCCAGCATGGACAGTGGTGCTGAGGCCACAGAGGAGCCCCCAGATGTGTCCTGGGCTGTCGCCCGGGTGTACCACCTGCTTGCCGAGGAGAAGCTGTGCCCGGCCTCTATGCGGGATGTGGCCTACCGGGCAGCACTCCAGGCTTTCAGCTCCAGGAATGACCCTCAGCTTAGGGAGCTCCAGGAGGAGGCCCAGGAACGGTGCGGGTGGGACATCATCAGGGACCCTGGGGGCTTCCATCCCCTTCACTCTGCTCTGGGCTGCCTCCCACCATCCTCAGCATCACCCTCTGCGACCCGAAGCCTTCCCCGGCCCATTGAGGACCCTGTGGACTGGAGCAGAGGATGCTCCCTGAGATCCACCAGCACGCCAGCCTCCCTGGCCAGCAACTTAGAAATTAGCCAGTCGCCCACTGTGGCCCTCCTCAGCCAGCCCCGCAGCCCCCATGGGTCCAGCAAGCTGTGTGCTGAGCCCCCAGTACACCAGCCTGTCCCTGCAGGCTGCCAGGAGCCTGAGGAGATGAGCTGGCCTATGTCGGGAGATATGGCAGACATCCCAGTACCATCAAATAGTCCAGCCCCCAGGCTTCCGGAGGTGGCCTCGGATGCAAGCCCTGCTGGTCCATCCAGCCCCTCTGAAGCTCCAGACACCAGCGCCCACTACCCGGTGGAATGCACGGAAGTGTCACCGGCCCCCAAATCTCTCCCCTCCCCCTCCAGAAACACCTGCCCTGTCAAGGACCAGATACCACTACAAATTCCCATAGAAGATACCTTTTCCTCGACAGCCCAGCCACGCCCCCCAACTCCCCTGGCCCCAAAGGCATCCCCTTCCTGTCCTTCTCTGTTGACTCCTTGTTCGGCTCACCCGGCCTCCTTGAACCCCCGTCCCCCTTCCCCAGAGTCAGAGTCATCAGAGCAGAAATTCTACAACTTTGTGGTCTTGCACGCCAAGGCAGATGAGCACATCGCCCTGCGTGTCCGGGACAAGCTCGAGGCCCTGGGTGTGCCCAACGGGGCCACCCTCTGTGAGGATTTCCAGGTGCCTGGGCGCAGCAAGCTGAGCTGCCTGCAGGACGCCATAGACCACTCGGCCTTCACCATCCTGCTGCTCACCGCCAGCTTCGACTGCAGTCTGAGCCTGCACCAGGTGAACCATTCTCTGATGAACAGCCTCACACGGCCAGGGTGGCAAGGCTGCGTGGTCCCTTTTCTGCCTCTAGAGAGCTCCCAGGCCCAGCTCAGCCCTGACACATCCAAGCTGCTCACCAGCGTTGAGTGGCTAAATGAGCACTCTGAGATCTTTGCCAGGAAGGTAGCCAACACCTTCAACCCTCGTAAGCTGCGAGCTCGAAAGGCCAACTGGAAGAAGGAACAGGATGCTCGGGCCCTGCAGGAGCAGTGCCAACACCTAGAGGGTGAGCGGCAACAGGCAGCGGCATTAAATGCCGCATACTCAACCTATCTCCAGACATACTTGTCCTGGCATTCACAGATGAATCAGCTCCAGGCAGCTTTTGAGAACAGCATGGCATTTGGGACTCAGTTGCCCTCTGGGGCTCGGGGGCCCCTGGGAGCCCGGCCACCCTTTCCTACCTGGCCCAGCCACCAGCCACCAACCCTGACTCCATGGCTGGCTGGCACCCCCAGCCCAGCCTTCCCACAGCCTCCAGCCTTCCCTCAGCCTCCAGCCTTCCCACAGCCTCCAGCCTTCCCTCAGCCTCCAGCCTTCCCACAGCCTCCAGCCTTCCCGCAGCCTCCATCCTTCCCACAGCCTCCAGCCTTCCCGCAGCCTCCAGCCTTCCCGCAGCCTCCAGCCTCCCCACAAGCCTCACCTGTGCCCCCTCAGAGCCCAGGGCTGCAGCCCCTCATCATCCACCATGCACAGATGGTGCAGCTGGGGCTCAACAACCACATGTGGAACCAAAGAGGGACCCAGCCGCCTGAGGACAAGACACAGGAAGCAGAATGACCAAGTGATGAAGCTTATGACCTTGACCATCAGACGCCCTTGGGCCATACCTTGGAGACTCCTCATCTCCAGGGGTGCAGTGGAAGATGGTGTCATCTGCTATTTTCAGGACATTACTAGGGACACCTTCATGTCTCAGGAAATTGTGCAAAATGGGTCCCAGTGACTATCCAGCTCTTGGGAAGGCCAGGATTAGACGTGGTGTTTACAAACTTGCTGTATGGTGGTGGTGGGGAATGGGCTAGGGGACATTAGTACAGTGTTTTAATTATAATAAATATTTATTGAATGCCTCTGTAGCACCATTCTCCTCTGGGAAACTGCTGGGAGATTTGTTAAGATAAAAAACATGCCTACTGTACCCAAAAAAGGGAAACTGAAGAGAAACTCACTTCTCTGAATGGCTTGCACCAGAAGTCTCCGGTATCTGCTGCTCTCATTGGCCAGAACCTAGTCACAGGGCTCCTCTCCAGCTGCAAGGGCAACTGGGAAATGCAATCTTCTGAGGGGCAGTGTGCGTTGCTGAAAGTAGATCTAACACTGGAAGTGGGTATTTAGCAGTTTCTGCTGCAGTTCTTTTGGGGAGTTGGGGGGCGTTGTGGGGTCTGCCTTCATGTGTTCGCCGAGGCTGGGCTCAGATCTCATTGTGTGATTTTTGGCAAGCATCTTCACCTCTCTGAGTCTCTGCTTTCTCAGAAGTAGATTTATGAGTCCAGTGTTTCAAGGTCATCAGTAAATCGGCCCATGACACTGAAACACCAGGGACAGAGTAAGGACTTACTAACTTTGCATGCCTGGCAGGGAGGGGATTCATCTTTTCTTGAGAAGAAGAGTAGAATTGAGTTTTGAGCACTCACCACTTAACGGTTCTGGAGGCTTTAAATGCCTAAATATATTTGAATCTTTCAAAATGACCCCCGAGGTAGAAGCTTCTGTGGTCCGGCACATGTATAGAGGGGAAACCTGTGACCCAAAGAGGTGAATTCTGGTCCCAAAAGTCATAGGTTGGAAGTGGCGAGATTACAATGGAAGAAGCTAAACTTCCAAGGGAGGAGATGGTGGGAGGGCCCAGAAGGCCCTCTCCACCCAACCATCTGATCTGAACATTCCCTTTGCGCCCCTTTCCCCCAGTGCCTGCCACCTCGAAGGGCAGGCCTGGTGTGAGTCACCTGGGCTGTCATTTGCACTTGCTTTCAGTGGCTGACTCATATTTTGTCACGGCTCTGCTTCTGGCCGCCCAGCCACGATGAAGTGAAACCCCGGGGAGGAAATCCTGAGCTTAGATTCCAGGGTGAGGTACTGTCGGGAGGGGTTTTGGAGATACCCTGTAGTAACTGGACAGCAGCAGTGAATATTTGCTTATTCACTGACACAGTGCCTGCCGGATCTTCCCAAGCAGTGAGTGTGTAGTGTTGTAGGGGCAGACGTGATTGTCCCTTGCTCTCTTTTCAGCTGAAGGTGGAGGAAGGGGGAACAGTGAATGAGTCATCAAATAAGGAAGCCAAGATAACAGGGCCAGGCAATGGGAATGTCTCAGGAGAGAGACCTTTGGCCCAGGGGCCAGAGAGGGCCTCTCTGAGGAGGTGGTGTTGGAGCCAAGATCTGGAGGAAGAGAGGGAGCTGGCCATGGAAAGAACTGGGTGGAGCAGGGTGGGGATGATCTGGGTGGAGGAAACAGCCCGTGCAAAGGTCCTGGGGTAAGGCCATGTTTGGCCTGTCAGAGGAACAGCTAGGAGGCCCATGTGGCTAGAGGAGAGAGGGAGGGAAGAGGTGGGGGCTGGGAGAGGCAGGTTGTGCAGGGCCTTCTGGACCACATGGAGGACTTGGGTTCCCAGCTCCACTCCCACTTCCACCTGCTAAGAGAGTTGGAAGCTCTGGAGAGCTGTGGGCTGAGAAGGGCTGGGACCTCAGATGCTCACAGGCGGCCTCTGGTGGCTGCTATGGGGAGGACAGACTGGGAGCCAGGGTAGGAGCTAGGAAACTAGGGCAGATGGGCTTATGTATGTCATCCTCCCAACAGCCCCAGGAGCTGGAGACCATTATTGTCCCCAATTTACAGATGAGTAAACTGAGGCCCAGAGAAGTGAAATTACTTATACAAGGTCACACAACACGTAAGTAGCCTTCAGGGGCAGGAGTTCTCTCTCTTGGATTCTAGCTCATACAGAGACTGAATAGCCTGTTAAATCATTGCCTTGACTTTTAAATTATTCTTGTTAATTTCATCATTTGTTAATTTATGGTTTCTCCACCACACCTGGCCACCCTGAGAGGGCTGGGGACAGATCTGTCACTGGTGTTTTCAGAAGCCAGTACAGGGCATGGCACATAGTAAGTGCTTGGCAATTGAGTTATTTGATAGACAATTACTGAGCACCTGCCGTGTGTGAGACTTTGGAGAACTTTAGGGGGGACAGACCTGTTACCAGTGAGTAAGGAGAGTGCGGATTCCTCTTTCCACTGATCCAACCAACATTTATTAAGGTCCTACCGAGTGCAGCCCCAGTGGCGCAGTGGTGACTGAGCAGTCACCTGGGAGGTGACCCAGGACAACCCCATTCTGTCTTTTCAGTATGCGTGGCCCAGTGCCAAAGACAGAGACTGTTCTGGGGTAATTAGGGCTGTGATGAGGAAGTCTAGGGAGCTGCTAGAGCTTAAAAGGGACCCTTGGCCAGCCAGGGGGGATTGAGAAGCTTCTGAAAGGAAGAAGTAAGCTGAGACCCGAGGAACAGGTTGGGAAAAGTGTTCCTGGAGGTGGCAGAGCATGGCAAAAGTCTGCGAGAGAGACCACGCAGGACACGGTAACTCCAGGGGTGGTGGGGGAGTTGAGGGGTAGGGGTGGAGGGAGAGACCCAAAATTTTCCAAAGTTGGGGGCTCAGCTATCATTCCTGCTGCTCCCAGCGCCCCCTGGTGCCCACATGCACCTGGGTATTTCCCGGGGAAGTCCCATGTCCTCGCTTGGCCAAATGGCCTTAACGAAAAATAGAAAAATTTTCCCATTTAAAAACTGTGGAGAGTGAATAAATAATAGATAACTTGGTTTTTTTGGAGGTCAACAGCTGTGTCCTGCTTGCAACGAGGTCTTTCTGAGACGGTCAGATGGTGTACGGATGTTCTTCCACCCGCTGGCCCAAGCGCAGCGCTTTGCCCGCTGTCAGCACATGCGCAGCTGTGGCTTGGCCTGGGCAGAACGGGCGAGCGGAGCTGGGCTGCACTTGGATCTCACAAACTTATGTCTCCAGAGCAGGCTGAGTGTCCCACTGCCTGGCAAGACATAAAGAAGATGACAGGTCTCCCCCACCAAACCCCCCAGCCTCCCCGACAATCAGCACAGCACTGCACACAAACACACAACCAACAGATGTGTATTTAAAATTATTTTCCATTGAACAAGGAATACATTCCCATGGTTCAAAATTCAAAACGCACCAAAGAGGAATCCAGGTAAAGCTGCCCTCTGTTCCCCGTCCTCAGCCACTGAGTTCTTCATTCCAGAGACCCTATTGATTTGTATTCAATCCCTGGCCCCTTACCATGTGCTCTCCCTGAAGCAGCCAGAATACACATCCGAGTACCCAAGTCAGGTCCTGCTCCCCCTCTGCCCACAGCCCTCCAGGGCTCCCATCTCCCTCCCTCGGGATAAAAGCCCAAGGAGACCCTATGTAACCTACCCCCTTCCCCTCCCTGCCCTCACCTCCTCCTCTCTTCCCCTGCTCACTCCATTCCAGCCACTCAGGCAAGGCCCGGTCCTGCCCCAGGGTCTTTGCACAGGCTGTTCCCTATGCTTGGAATGTCCTTCCTCCAGAAACCTCCACAGCTCCCACCTCATCTCCTCCAGATCTTTGCTCAAATGTCACCCTCTCAATGGGAGGCTTTCTTGAGCACACCATTTAAAATTCATTTACAATCTCACCCACCAGATCCCCCTGAATCTACTCTGTAAGTCATTTACTCATTGGCCAGATTGTTATCCACCTTCTCCATGAGGATGTGAATTTTGTCTGCTGACTTTACTGTTGCATTCCAGTGCCTGGCACACAGCAGGTGTTTAATACATGAATTTGAATCACTGTTTAAGTCTGTCTTTATCTTTAAAACAGCCTCTTGATTTCATGCTCCCTTCCTGCCTGCTGGCAGGCAGTCTGTTCATTTCATCATCCCTTCTGTCATCCATTCATTCATTCATTAAACAGTATGTAACGAGCACCTACTGTATGCCAGGGATGGCTTCAGACTCAGGGGACACAGTGTTCACAGAGGCAGACTCTGTTACTGCCTTCACGGAGCTCACAGCTCTGTGGAGAGTCTGACATGAGACTAAGTGGTTAAACTTAGGCAGTCCTGGGTGTGATGGGGCACACAGGAGTTCCTGAAGGGGGCAGTGCAGGCAAGAGAGGCTACAGCCCAGACAGGCCCTGTGATGGGGAGGAGCTGGGTGCCTCTGAAGGACTGGGAGGAGCCAGTGTGATTGACTTGGGTACAGGACCTGTTCTCTCCCAGGCCTGGAAAACAGGATGCTTCGTTTGTGGGGACCCAGGTGCTGCAATGAGCACTCAGCGCCACCAGGTGGTGCTGGCCATCAGTGTTTCCGGCCTCTCCCCCTGCCAGGGCTGGGTGGGAATCCTCCCAAGGGAACCCTGAGGGGCAGGGACCCCCAGAGAGTGCCAAGGTCCAAGCCACACCAACAGCCAACAGTCCCCTTTCAGCCTACAGCCTCCTAAGCACAGATCCATATACATCTCCCCCTTAAGTGGGTCTTCAGAAAGCGTTTGTTCTGTCTAACGCTGTTGAGGGGCCAGAGGCCAGAGAGCAGGCACATGCCTGAAGTCACAGAGCAGGTCCTCCCCTGCCCAGCCTACAGTGTCTCCTCCCAGCCCCAAGTGCTCCTGGGTGGGGATCTTTTATTTTTAACCTGGTCAGTGGACACGGCCTTATTATAGCCCTGGGAGGTGCCCAGGGTTTCCAATTTCTGAGGGAAGTTAAAAAACTTGTTTTCTTCTCAAGAAATGGAGCTGCCTGAGACCTCTTGGGGTGGGGAGGCCCGCCCAATCTCCTCTCCTCCCCAAGGCTTGCCTAGGGTTCCTCAGACCCCTCACCGGGCTCTGAGCCTGTCTCCACCTCATAAACCCCGTCTCCCTCTCCAGTGACACCTGGGCTCTGGCCAGGGGTGGTGCAGTGTGCCTGACCCCGTGTTGGGTCTGAGCCCCCTTTTGTCACATGGAGCTGTGATGCTCTTCGGCATCCTCCTGCTGATCCCGACTTCGCTTACCTGTCTACTGTCCCCATGATCTTTGCCGGCCATCTGCCCTCTTATTAAATTTTTTTTCTATTCTTTTCCCTGAGTCATGAGACAATTTTCTTTAAGCAGGCATTAAAATGAACCCCCCCCCACCGCCCCAGGAATTAATCAGCAGTGATGTTACACAACCTTGCAACTACACTAAAAGCCACTGAACTGTATGCTTCACAATGGTAAATTTTATCTTGGTAAAAAATGTGTATAAAAATGCAAACTTGTCTTTATTCTTAAACTTAGGTCATTTGCAGTATTAACATCTGTGAGCTCACGTGTTGTGCAGAGCTAGCTATGGTTTGTTCCTTAAGACACGTTCAAATGAATACATATTTAAATATTTTAAAACTTCATTCATGTATTAACGTGCAAATGTGCATGCAGACAGTAGGCGATCTGTAACCGAGAGCTCTACTGAACACTCACTGTGCGCCAGGACGTTTTCATAAGCAGACTCATCTGACCCTTCCTACAACGCCAGGAGGCAGCTGCCACTGCCCCATTTTACACCATTTTACGGGTGAGGAAACCAAGGCACAGGGAGGGGAAATGATGGTTCCGAGGTTATGTGGCCTGTGTCCTAACCACTATTCTGCACTGCCCAGTGAGCACACCCATTTTCTGAAAGAGGAAACTGGACTAAATCATAGAAATGATGGCAAGTTGGTGGCCTTAAAAATGTAAAAGAAAAAAAAAAGCTTTTGCAAATAAAACCTTATTTACAAAAAGGAGGCTGGACCTGGCCCATGAGCCAGTTTGCAGACTCGGGCCCCAGATAGGCGATTCCCCGTTTTCACGCCCGTCTACACACCCAGCGCCGGGCGCTTCTCTCCAGCACTGCTCTAGCGGCTGCGTTCCACACATTTCCTTTGTTGTGTTCTATGCGCCATTCAAAATATTTTCTAGTTTAGTTATTTCTTCTCTGACTGAAGCTGGGGCACAACTGCCCACCCACTTGTGTCACCTGCTGGCCCCAAATGACATCTCAATTTGAGGTCCGTTAGAAGTCAATGCTAAGCTGCTTCAGCAACTCAAAGGCCTACCTTCCCTGTGACTGAGAGCTCTCACTTAGTCAGCAATACTGACTGAGCGCCCACTACGGGCCAAGCGTTCTCCTGGGTACAGCGTATGGGGATGAGCAAGGCAGCTACGTGGGACTCCCACGCAGCCCTAGAGCGACCTCGAGTCCAGAACTCTGCTCCATTCTCCCCGGCCCACTAAACACCCACTACCCATCCACCTACCAGCTCCGTCTCCAAACCTAGGAGTACTCTTTTTTATTTATTTTATCCTCACCCAAGGATATGCTTATTGACTTTAGAGAGAGGGGAAGGGAGGGAGGGAGGGAGGGAGGGAGAGAGAGATATATCCATGTGAGAGAGAAACACTGATTGGCTGCCTCTCATACGTGCCAGCTGTGAACCAAATCTGGAACCCAGGCATGTGCACTGGCCAGGAATCGAACCTGTCACTTTTTAGTTTACGGGACGTTGCTCCAACCAACTGAGCCACACCGGCCAGAACTAGGAGTACATTTTTGACTCCTCTCAATCCCCATTTTCCAAACCAGGTCATCAACAGCTCTTGCCAGCCCAACTCCAAAGTAGATCCAACAGGTCCACTTCTCCCCACCCACAACATGACTTGGTCCAGCCCACTTCTACCCAGTGTTCTCGGGGTACCCACACAGCTTCCCCACCCCTGGTCTGTAGATCCACCCCAAACCATTCCTCCAGGCTTGCCCATAGCAATCTCACAACAAATCAGGCCACTCCTCTCCTCAACTGGAAACTGTCACAGCTCCCTAAGGATAAGACCCAAACAGCTCACAGGGACTTAAAGACCCTGCACCATCTGCCTGCATCCCCTAGCTCCCCCTCAGTTACGCTGGCCACATAGGCCTCCATCCTCTTCTTAGAAGGAGCCACATGAGTTCATTCATTCATTCAACAAACATTTAAAGAGCTACTATATGTCAGGGAGAGAGGAAGGAAAACATCAATATGCAAGAGAAACATCAACTGATTGCCTTTTCTACCTGGCCTGCAACCCAGGCATGTGCCCTGCCTGAGAACTGAACTGGCAACCTTTTGGGTTTGCAGGCTGGCATTCACTCCACTTACCCACACCAGCCAGGGCATCACGCCTTCTTTAAGGCACTGGGAACACAGCAGGGAATGAGCTTGTGTAGCTGACATTCTAAGGGAGGGACACAATGAGCAAAGGAAGCTTGTAAAGAAAAAGATAATTATAGGAATTAAGGTTATAAGGGTTGAGAAGGAAATACATAAAGGGGATGCAGTGGAGGATGGCTGGGGCTGTGCCTTTGATGATCTGGGAGGGCTTCATGAGGAAGTGACATTTTATCGAGATCACTGCTCAATGGGCTTTCAGTAGAAGACATTAGTGCTTAGGATGGGGGAAAGGGATGCCCTGGGGGAATCTCAAATGTCTTGCTCAACACCTAGGTTCAATTCTCTTTTGTGGGCTACAAAACCACAGGTGCTGGGGTCAGGGAGGATTTCTCTCCCAGCCCTGTGAAAGGGGTGGTGCTGCCCAAATTTGGGCTGGGACTCGCCTAACACATGTGACAACCACTGGATGGAACCACCCTCTGTCCAGTCCTCACAGAATCTCCCCCAGGAATCCAGACCCCCACCCATCCTTTTTCCAGGCATACGCAGTCAGTGACCTGCTGTGCCAGCGGTCCCAGGGGTTGGTCATCTTACCTTTCTGGCCTGTGATGTGATTTGGAGCTGTGCTATCTTTAACTCCACTCCCTTCCATAAACACTGCTCAGATGACAGCGCCGGATCCTGTGGGGGCAGTGGGCTCTGAGTACGGCCAAGCTGTCAGGGCCTGCTCCCTGTGTCCCCTGAAGCTGCCCCAAGTAGTTCAAGGACTGGAATTCTAGGAGTTGAGGAAGATTCATCCATTTCCTCACTCAATCCATGGGAGCTAAGGTCATGGGCGTGACCAAGACAGACAGACCCTCACAGGGCAGACCTTCCTCTGGAAGGCCTGAGGAAGGCATTAAGCAAGTGGATGACCAAATGAGCAGAATGTCAGGCCCTGACTTCAGTTCTGTGGAGGCAGAGAGGAAGGTGGGAAGTGACAGTGAGCGGGTGTAGTGGTTCCCACTGACGAGGGGGAATGCATGCTTCCTGGCTGAGCTTGTGCAAACCCCTACTCCTCTCTGAACCTGTCTGCTCGAGTACCGGTGACGTGGGTCATTATCCCGGCTGTGTGGCCTTGGACAGGCCACTTCACCTCTCTGAGCGAGTTTCTTCAGATTACACGTAGTAATTTTACCATACATATATATTGCCCTCCTCCATGGTATGTTCCATTTTACAGTACCCCAACTTCACTTGGGGTACAGGTGTTTTGGGGAGGCGCCCTCCTCCTCCAGCCCCTATTTCCAGGCTACTGATGGGTCTAATCCAAATGAAACTTTGGACTTGGCAGAAAGATGCCTCCATTCTGTTGGCTGCCCTGTGAGAACCCCAGAGGAGCCAGGTCATTCCTGAGTTTCGAGCTGCTGAAACAACCCTCAACCGAACCTGCCTGAGCTGTTTTAAGATGGTTTTCACTGGGAAGTCTGAGCTTGTAAAGCATTTGGCACAGAGCAGTTTTCCTCTTTGGTGCACCTCCTAACACTTCTTAATAGCCTCAAAGTAGGCATGACACCTACCCGACAGGACCGACAGGACCGTTGCGAGGTTAACGAGGTGGCTAACCTAAGCACAGTAGAACGGTGCCAGCAGTCAGGGCTCAATAAACGCTTTTGCTACTGTTATGTGTCTCCCAAGAGAACGTGGCTGAGAAATCTGATTTGAAACCCACCCCTTTAAGGCAAGAATATATATATATCCATGCAGTAGCTGAGTGGGGGATGGGCTGGGTGGAGGGACCAGGGCAGAAAACCTGGGACAACTGTAATAGCATAAATAAACTGTAATTTAAAAAAGTTGTTGGACCCCCAATGAAACCAGAACACTCCAGCCCCATGAACCACTGTGCGTGCGATGTCCCCAAGACACGGCCTCCCCTACTGCCTGCCACAGGGGGTGAGCACGTGGATCGGTCACCGACCTCGGGGATGACAGCTCAGTCCTTACCCGTAAGAGGACTTGGAGCAGGCCTGGCAAACAACAGGTGCTTGGAAAGCCTCAACGACCACCTAAAGGGGCAGTGCTTTTGGGCAGAGTTTACTGTGCCAATGTGGAGAAAACCAGAATTTCACAAGGGAGATGGCAGCCGAAACAGAGGAGGGGAGGCCTGGATTGTCTTATGCTACAACCAGCTCCAGGAAACTCACCAAGCCCCTAAACAGACCTCTTGGGCCACAGCGCTGCACTGGTTCCATCCACGGGTCTCCCACTGATTAGGGGCCCACTTCCTTAGTCCTTCCTAGACTTTCAGAAGGGTCAAGCCACCCTCTTTTCCATGTCAACCCTCCCACAAAGTGGGGAGTTTGGTGTTCACTTTTCATGCAGTAACGCTCCATTTCCCAGTGAAATTTTACACAGAGCCCCAGCACATGCAGAGAGACTCCTCCAGCTACAGAGGGCAGCCCAAGGGCTGCTCCTGGGACACCTGGCTTTTAACTCTCAGGGGTGCCCACTTCCCACCTCCTCCCCAGCAAGGAACTGCCGGGTGGTTCTCTTCAAATGTCTTTTTAATGACTTCAACACCAGTGCCAGAACTCACAATTTAAACAGCCTCATTTCTTTATTCCATGCAGTTTCCTGCCTTGATGGAGGTAAAACCTGGTCTTGTAAATAAATAACATCCTAAGTAACACTGCAAGTCCACATGAGGCCTAGTTTTCTTGGAGGGTGGAATATCCAGGGACCTGTTGTGGTGTCCGAAGGCCTCCATGTAGCTGCCACTGGACAAGGCTGCAGGAGAGGCATGGGATGAGGATGCTGCTGTCCTGAATGTGACCTTTCTTCTGAGCTTCTGTCCCCTTCTACAATTCACTGCTGCCCAAACAGGCCAAGAACCACCCCTCCTGTCAGAGTGCATGCAGTACAACCCAAGACAAATCTCCCTGCAGCAGGTTCTCTTACACAGGCACTTCATACCCTGAGTTATGGGAAGCCAAGATTTTGCATCACTTCAGCTCTCAGCATTCACTGCCTCATCCAGCTGATTTGCAGAGTTAACGCTGCACTTAGGATTTCCTCACGAAGACCTGGATTCGGGCCTTGAGCAGTGGGAAGAGTGGCTGGAGCCACTCGGGGTGGTTATGCCCACAACACTGTGCACTTGTACATGATCTGTGAGGCTGAAGCGGCCTGCAGCTCTGACTCAGAATCTATAAAAACCAAGCCCCAAGCCAACCTTGCTAGTTCTTAGTGGGAAGCTCTTATCAAACTCAACTTCTTGGGCACTTCACCTGAACCTATTTAGAAAATACTTCACTAATGAGGATGGCAATACAGGAGGCCCAAGAAAAAGGCGAATGAGTGAAGTTTTAAGGAGTGTATAGTCACCTACGTTTTAGGAACCGACACCATAGTTTTCTACCTCCTTTACCAAATTCTTCACACAATGAAGCTTGCTCCTGGTGGCGGCGGCCACCTTAGGCATGACAAAACTCTTGGCGCACAAAATTAACTTAGCAAGTTTTAAAAGAAAATGTTAAATTCTTAAGAAAAAGAAAATGGCAGCAAAACCTCAGAACTCCTGTGCAATGCCTGTAGTCTGCCCACCTACTAAATAAAGAGAACACCAAACCAGCCCAAAGCTATGCAAGTGGCAGGCTGCCCTGGCAGGCCAACTATGGCAATGCGGGGAGGGAGCAGGGTGCAACTGTGCTGGAAGAAGTGAGAGGAGGTCTTGCTTCTTGAATCTCCAACTTTCCACCTTGGGAGCCCCCAATCCTAACACTGCACTTTGTGGGTAGGTTTATCCAACCATATTAAGGGACAAAAAGGGACAGACCCAATTCTCAGTTTCTTCCTGTTTCTAGCAGGGGAGGAAGGCAATGGCTTCAATCCCTCTGCTTCTCAGTAAGAAGGCAAAATCTTCTGAGACCCAGGCAGATGGGATGTTGGAAGATCGTGCATCTTCTCCCAATTAAGGATGGGTGCACATGCTCCTGAGAAAGACAGTTCTCTGAGCACACAATCCTGAAGGCTTCTAGCACCAACAACTAACTCCTATCCTCTCTCTGCAGAGGTGAAGGGCTGTGGAGGTGGGAGAGCCCTTTGCCCATTGCATGCCACCTGAAGTGCTCACCAAGAGTGGGCGAGCATTGGTGTGGCTATACCTCTCCCGGTTCGCCCCTCTCAGAACCCTGTCAGTGTAGCTCAATGAATGCCTCCAGCTCCTCGGGGATGAAGCCCTTGTAGGGGATTTTATTCTTGTCTAGGGCACGGGCTGCAAGGCACTGCAGGGTTACGTAGTTGAAGGGCTGAATTGTGCTCTTAGCCAGCAGCTTCTCATCCAGCAGCTCGTAGGCCGTTTTCTTGAAGGCATTGGTGGCATCCATGTGGGCCCCTGCTTCTATCAGGGCGTTCATGATACCCGGGCAATTGTTGTGGGCTGCTATGTGCAGCGGGGTGTTGTTGTCGAAGTCCCGACTGTCTGGGTCAGCCCCGCAGTCGAGCAGTACCTTGACCACCTGGAGGGAGGGGAATCTGCCCACCGGGTATCGGCCTACATTCGTGGTATCCTTGTCCACGGCCATGTGCAAAGGGGTGAAGCCATTCTTGCCCCGGGGGGCACACTTCAGCAGCCGGTAGATGGTCTGGTGCTTCAGATGTTCCTGGTCTGGTGTGCATTCCACTTTCTCCAACAGATAGAGCAGGTGGAGGATGATGGCCAGGGTCTTGGTGAACTGGACTGAGTCTCCGGGCTCCTTGGGCAGTTGCAGGGCTCGTTCCACTTCTCGGACCCCTTTACAGAGCACCCCCATGAGGTCTGCAAAGCCGATTTGTGTGCCCTGGCTGCCCTTGGCTGTGCGGTCCTGAAGCACATAAGAGAAGAGTTCAGCAAAGGAGAGGAAGCTGCTGGCGGTCATGGGGCTCAGAGGCTCCAGGTTGTTCTGTTGCATGTCTAGGGCATATTTCCACAAGCGGATACAGCGCTCGAAATCGCCCGAATCAGCGTATACTGCGCCCCTGTAACGGATATAATAGGAAGTGTCTGGGTGAGAGGGACCAAGGATGCGCTCTCGGATCAACAGGGCCTGCATGCGCATCTCATCCGGGTCGGTTATAAGTGCCTCTAACTCCTCAGCAGTGTTTACCTCCCTGGAATAGTCATAGGCCAAGACCAGCTGCGGGGGCTCTGGTTTGGGCAGATATGCGCCCCCCTGGTGACGTAACTCCATAGCTCGTCTCCAGTGTTTCAAGGCCCCAAGCAGATCACGCTTCTTATCCACATACGTGGCTCCCAGCAATTCCAAGGCTTCCACAGCAGCTTCCCGGCTGGTGGGGCAGCAGCTCTCATAAGATTCACTACTAGGTGGTTCCTCTGGGGAGGAATTGCAACAGCTGGCCCCCTGGGGCATCACACATCCCGGACTGGTGGAGGGGCCTTTTTGGGCAAGCCCTGGCTGCACTTCCTTCCCAGCAGGCTGCTCCTGGATAAGGTATTCCACGATGTTGGTGTGGCCAGTCACGCTGGCCGCCAGCAACGGGGTCATGCCATAGCCATCGCGTTCCATGCGGGCATTGCACCCAAGCAGCAGCTGCAGGATCTCCAGGCTGCCGGACTCGGCGCAGTCATGCAGGGCCGTGTTACCCTTGGCGCTGCGCCGGTTCACCTGGGCGCCCTGCTCCAGCAGGTAGCGGGCGATCTCACGGTGGCCCTTGTAACAGGAGATCATGAGGCATGTGTGTCCATGCCGGTTGGCCACCTCCAGGTCGGCTTGGTGCTCACCCACCAGGTAGCGCACTACTTCTAGGTGTCCATCGAAGCAAGCGGCACGCAAGGGCGTGGAGTTGGTGCGCGTGGTGCGGTTCACCGAGGCCCCGCGGCGCAGCAGGCTCTGCACCACGTCCAGATGGCCGGCGGCTGAGGCGGCCCAGAGAGGAGGCGCGCCCTCGATGGTCTCGCCATCGAAGTGCACCGAGCCGCCCGCCTCCACGCTCGCGCCGCACCGGTCCACTAGGTACTCAACCACGTCCAGATGGCCGTAGCGGGCGGCAATGAGCAGTGGCGTCCCCTCGCCGGCCACCTCGCCTGTCAGCTCATCCAGCTCCTCCTGGGTCCGGCCGCTGAGCAGCTTTTGAAGCAGCTGAAGCTTGCCGTCGCGGGCGGCATTGTACACAGCGGTGCGCAGGTCCATGGTTTGGACCTCCGCCAGGCCATTGGCCGACCGCCGGGACACCGGGAGACGGCGGGCTACAGCCCGGAGGGACAGGGTGCAACCTTCACCGTCTCCCCCGCCGCCATCTTAAGGGCTTCTTGGACGAAACAAAATGGTTGCCGCTGCCTGATGGCGTTCGCTAATGGGAGCGCGTAGAAAAAATGTAGTCCCTTGAGCCGGCCTGCTCTGTAGGATATGGAAGGACCTGTGAGGTTTGAGGACTATATCTCCCAGAAGTCTGCGGGCCAGCCTCAGCGAACTGGTAGCACAGTGCATGGTGGGAATTGTCGTTCCACTTGCTGCCAATTGCCTCGGAAACTGAACAGAGGACTACAATTCCCGAGATGCAATGCCATCGCAATAACTTATGGGCCCGAAGAAAGTTACGTGGCTGCCTCAATGCTTATGCCAACCGGAAACGGAAGCGGGAGCCAAAGACTACATTCCCCAAAAGGTATTGGGAGCAATTTGGCGCCAATTATAGAGTGAAGTCTGGCTAAGCTGGCCAAACGATCTGACTCAGGCTTCTGACAGGGGGCGCTCGGGAGAGGAAGGAAAGTCGACAGGGCCAGGATGTTAGGGAAGCAGGAAGTACAGTTGGTCCTAAGGGTCAGTGTCTTGCACTCACTCTCATTCATTTATTCTTCCGTTCACTCATCCATTAATAATATCAACTGAAGACGGTTGCCACCAAGTTAGTGCCACCAGAAATCCTTGGGGTGGGGTAAAGCCGAGAGACTAGTGATAACAGCTCAATTGTGATATAGCTTGGGTGTGGAAAGGCTGGGCTGTGGGACAGCTTAGGTGTGAGACAGCTCAGTCCAAATAGCTCCAGTGAGGGTATCTTGCTGCTTCAGTTCTGGTGTTACAGCCCCTGCTTGTAGGGAAACAGGGCACTCGTTGAGGCGCGGGGGAAACTGGCTTATACAGAGGAGTCTAGGCTCATGACCCTGATTGGTCCATTTCTATGCAAATGAAGGCTCCAAATCCTCAGTTTGATTGGTCCCTAACACTCCTACCTTGAGAGGTGAGGACTGTGTCCCCCATCCTTGAATGTGGGTGGACTTGTGGCTGCTTTTGTTAAGTAGATTAAATAGTAAACCTAGGCAGCAAGGAAGAGGGAGACGTGTCTCACCCACTAACTCAGCAGTCCTGAGCCTGGTCCAATAACATCGCCAGGTGTTCCAACATCATAGGAAACACCATGCTAACACTTTGAAATTCTGTGTATCGTTTCCACTACCTGGGAAAGATAGCCTTTGAAACTATTTATTCATCCCAAGGTCTAGAAGGTGGAAGAGGAGGGAGTTCACAGTGCCCAAAGAAAAAAACCATAAAACAACTTTGGTGAATTGCCTACTTCTGGTCACTGTTTTACAAGGGAGTCTCTAGCTAGTACTTAGAGAAAGAGCCCATACATGATTTTGGGTAACTGCCCCAACTTTAGTTAACTGCCTCCTGTCCCGTCTTTATGACAAGATGAACAGATGTGATCTGGAGCAAGATAAGGATTCAGGCTAATATACACCCACACATACCTTTGTTTTGGTAGCCATGTCCCCCCACCCCCACCCCAGGAAAGCTGACACCACCTTTACCATCAATTAAAATGTAACTCCTTCACCCCCATCCCACCAACTGTATAAGTCCTCAGGACAAAGGACCTAGTGCTCTTGCCAGCTTGTTTTTTGCCACCCAAGCTCTGGCCTTTCACCCCCACCTCGGCAAGGCCCATTCTTTTCCACAAGAACTTATCACTAATAAACCCTGCTTACATGCTAATAGATGCTCTGATCTCTAATGCTTTACTGTCTGCAAGAAGAACTGAGTTTCTCCCATAACACTTGGACCAGTGGTGCTGGGATTTCTGAGTTTAGGATATAAAAGGTCGCCAGATTCCCCTGTTCTCTCTCTCTGTCTTTAAGGGTCCCAAAGGAATTTTTTTATTCAATTGGGTTATAGGATTTTTTTTTTCAATTTTGGTACTAATCAGAAATACTCAATATCAATTCTGTGTAATCCACTGTTCTCTTCAGATGCCCACTTTGGGGAACCAGCCACCATAAAAGAAGTTAAGGCCATCATGCTGGACAGACCACGTGTAGACCCTCTTGTCTGCTGTCCCAGCTGAACCCAGCCTTCCAGCCATCCCCTCTGGGATGTCCCCTGTGTGAATGGAACCGTTTTGGACCTTCCAGACCAGTCATCCACCAGCTGACACCACACACAGGTAACAAAAGAAGCTCCCTGCCCCACCTTCAAACTGAACACTGCCCAAATTCCTGACTTACAGAAACCATGACATTTAAGAAAATGATTGTTTTAAGTCTGTATATTTTGGAGTAGTTTGTGATGCAACAATAGTAACTGGGACTGTGTTAAGTGCAGCTTGTGGCTTCAGTTTGCCTGTCTATAATTACTAACCAAATCACACAGTTCCCCAAGAGTTTGTTTACTATGTGTGTTTCCTCTCTGGGGAACTCCCTGTTCATTGGGAAAATATGCCATGGTTTAGTTTCTAAGAAACAGTCTCAATGTGGTCTTGAGAGACTGCATAGATCTGTGCTGGTTAGCTCAGCCTGAGGTATTGGCATATGTCTTTGTTTCACTTGTTTAGCCATTTTTATTGATACTGTAAGCACCTACTTTGTTTTGGGTCATGTGCTACAAGCTGGGGATGTGTAGGTGAGCAGGCAGACACTGTTCTCAAGAACCCAGAATCTAATTAAGGACGGTAGCCTAGATCAAGCTCTGTGGTCAGGGGTGTAGGACCCCAGAGGACGAATAGATTGTACCTGCCTGGGGAGGGAAGGAGGGAGTTGGGAGATGTTTCATTGATAGACAAAGAATTTTTCAGGTAGTTACTAAAAGAAGCAGTGTTCTATATTATTCTAGTTATCTGTTTTGGCTTAGCTAATTACCCCAGGCTTACTGACTGTGGTGGACTGAATTGTGTCCTCCCAGAATTTACATGTTGAAGCCCTAAACTGCAACGTGACTGTGTTTGCAGACAGAGTCTTTAGGAGGTGCCGTGCAGCCCTGACAGTCACTCAGGGTCATTTCCACCCCATGGTATTTTCTGGGAGAAGCTTCTGAGAGACTTTCTGGGAGACTTTCACTAAGTCTGACCTGCTTCAAGGGGAGAGAATCAGGCGCCATCCTTCCAAGGAGAGGGAATTAGATGTTGGAGAAATGTCAATAAGTTTGGAGATATGTTGTAAAATCACATAGAGCAAAAACCCAGGGGACAGACCACAGGGGAGGCATGGCGCATTCAGTACCTCACTGAGTCACTCACTCCATGCCTACAAGAGAGCATTTCAGGGGGATTCTTTGCCAACAATGAGGAGACACTTCCTTCTCTTTAAAAGTCCCAAAATCAATTATGCAATTGGCTCTTTTTTATAATATACTGAATGAGACAGTCAGAGGTAAACACATCTATCAAAGGACATTTCAACAAAGTCTTCTTGATTTTTCCTTCAAGATAAGACATTGCTGAGTAGTAAACATTGTCCACACTACTTTCTTAGCTCACTATGGTGAAGTGTCCTTTTTTTATAGGAGAAGTTTGGCTTGTGAAGATACCTGTGCACACCTGAAGTCTGGGGAGTGAGAGAGAAGAGCTATGTGAGGGCATTTTAGTCACTGCTTCTCAAGCAGTGATGACTGACATCAGTGGTGTTCAATATATGGTTTTTCTTTCTCATCAAGGGCCTTAAAGGGTGACCTTCACTCATCTCTAACAGAAATCTCATTCAGTAACAGGAGTCTGTGGTTCCCTGTGACAACAAGCAAGAGAAAAACTTTTCCTTGAGTCTGAAATTTTAAAAATTGGCCCTGGCTGGTGTAGCTCAGTGGATTGAGCACGGGCCTGCAAACTAAAGGGTCATGGATTCGATTCCTGAGCAGGGTACAGGCCTGGGTTGTGGGCCAGGTCGCCAGTAGGGGGCGTGGGAAATGCAACCACACTTGACATTTCTCTCTCTTTCTCCCTCCTTTCCCCCTCTCTAAAAATAAATAAAATAAAATCTGTAAAAAACATTGAAGTGAAGTTAGCCATATTCACATAAACAGCTCAATGCATTTGGTACATTCACAGTGTCGAACAACTGTCACCTCTATTGAGTTCCAAGATGCGAGGGTGGGCAGAAGCTGGTTTACAGTTGTGAGTATGCAAAGCAAAGCAGTAAATAGCAGAGCAGTTTACTATTAACTGCTATTTACTATTAACAATAGATTGTTATCTATTAATTACTGTGTTATTTTCCATACGAAAAACTGTGAACCTACTTTTGCACACCCCTGTATTTTTATCACCCCAAAAGGAAACCCTAGCCCCATGAGCAGTCACTCCCAAGCTATATAATGTATATTTATTATATATCACATGTGTATATAAATGTAATACACTAGTATATAGGATACATGATGTTTATATTATATAATAGTATATAATATTTATAACAGAAGATAATGTATTACAAATGTTACATATATGTAAAAATATGTAAAATAATAAACAATGTATACAATATATTATAAATTCATTTGACATGTAAAAGTCAAAATAAGATGTAATGCACACATATACACACAATGTATAGATAATGTTTTCTGAATAATTCGAGGAGGTAATTTGGAGTCTTGACAACCTTTACTCTTAAGTACTTCAGTGGGCGTTTCCTAAGAAGGAGGATGCTCTTTCACAGACCCGCAGGTCAGTGATCCAAATCGGGAGCTGTAACACTGATAAGCCCCATCATGTGGTCCACCATCCAGACTCCAGTGCTTTCTATTGTTCCCATAGTGCCCTTTGCAGCTGCTCCGTGGCAGTCAGAGATACTCGCTTTTCGTGCTTTTCTTCTCTTGACCACTGGTTTATCGCTGAGTCCGGGCCAGGTGGGATAAAACAAGGGTGAAGTTTTCCCCAATAATTGTCTCCCCTGCTTTCTGTCAAATCTCCCTTCTCTGCCCTGAGGAGCACATTCTGTAACCTGACTGGTCACTGCCAGTTAAAAAGTCTTGACCTGTCAACAATTTCCATCTCAAAGCTTTCTTCAGACCCTTGGCTGACCGGTGATGTTACTGGGAAAACTTGGGATGATGTGGAGGCCCCTGGAAC